TGTTGTGTCATGAGGGAAGAAGGACAACGTCATTTCGTTACCCTCAAACCCCATTCTCGCTTGTCATCACCAATTTCAACCCGGCCATCGTCAAAAATGACTCCCATACATATTTAATGGTCTTGTTATTTAAGTGAGCCTCACCTTAGATTACATTTTGCTGAAATTCTAGCTTTCTCGCGTGGAACTTTTTACTGTTCTCCGGGTTGAAATGAATTAGGGGGCGAGAGGGTTGAAAGGGCGCAGGAATATTCAACAAAGTTCCACTTAGTATTTCGCTCAGAGAAATACTATAAATATCTTTCTCACCCAAAAGTCTGCACTGCAATTCAATGCTACATATTCCTATCCTTCTCTCTCTCTCTCTGTCTTAAAACTGCGATAGTAAAATTACATGTAAGAGATGTGATAGATAGACAAGATATGGCAGAATGTGGGGCATCGTGATGGCACTTTTGATGGAATTATAATGTATGGCAAAGCCACACCTAGAACTTTTCTCAAAAACTTCTCAACTTTATCGTCGCGATATGGTGGGAATGTGCGGGGCCAGAGGATTTTTGTGTTATACATTTCCTTCCCAAATCTGTATGACTTCTGTGCCAAACATGGACTGGGAAAATCCCAGCGATAAATCCAATTGCTGAAATTGTAGATGGACAAAAAAAAAGCTTTTACAAAGTTCAGATGAGGTCTCATTTCCATTAAAGTGCACTTTAATAATCAGAATTAATTAGCATTTTAATGTGGAAAAGTTCATTTTTTTTTAATTCCTCTTGTAATTTTTGCTGCCAATCTGCCTGGAATATTGTGCGGTTTGAGAGATAGAAAAGTCTGCCATTGACTTTTTGGTCATCAGTCACATTTCAAATACACTCTCCCGCATTATTGCCTATTTCATTATTGTACTGTCATTTCGCCGTAAATGGCCGTGAATGGCTGTAAAAAGTTCCCAAGGGTGGAATTTTTTGGGTCAATCGGAGTGTTCTATATCTGTGATATTCTGCGGTTTCCTCAAATATTTTGCCTCCTTTTCACTTTTTTGCGCCTCTTCATCATTTTACTTGATAATTAAAATGATGGCAAGAGAAGTAATAAATATGAATTGTGCGGAATGAAGGTAAAAAACGCATTTCCTCTTTTTTTTCCCCTTAAGAGTGAGACACAATAATACTTCCACTTGGGAGATATTGTACAATATTTCTCAGAAGATTCCATTCCATCGTCGTCCACTTAATATTTCTCAATCAAGCAAATGAGTCACTTTGGGGAGAGAGAGAGTGATAGAGAAGAAGCGTATTTCTTCAATATCTCGGGGCGGAGAGCTCGGTGTAATTGAGCTTATTGCATGCTCAATGCGGGGGTGAGACTGGAGGGCCGTCCAATAAACGTGAGGCTCCCCCTCAATCACTTTATAAAATATTCAATCTTGTCGGACTGTGTCTAATGAGTTTCCGCCACAGTGTCTCCTTATTGTCCTTCGATAGGGAGAGTCACCGGTCGAGCCCATTGTGTGCATCTGTTGGCTCCCCTTTTGCTACGTGTGCACAACTCATCAGTCTATCAATCAAGTCCGTTGGCTTTCTATGCGGGTGGCGTGAATGATGGGCAGCTCTTCTCTCTGTTTCCCCTTCACTCAATGAGTCCAATAGTATTTCACATTTTCTACATGACATCAAAAGGGGTTTATCACATCCGATCCTAATCATTTTCCCGGATGTGAAGCTGTGTCATTACCTTAATGACTTTATGCAATTACTTCTTATTATGCTTTACGGGTTTGCATACTGACTGAGCTTTTGTTTATCGAAACATTCACTTTCAGTCTCTCTGGGTGTTTTTCTCCCCCCAATATTGATCTCATATCTTTACTAAATCAAGCTGGGACATTAATAGGTTACTGAATTTAACAAAACGTTGGCAGATTATATTTCAAATCCCCCAGTTTGCAATATTAATGTTCAGCTCTGCTAAAATACTCTACAAATTCCGTTTTAATCAAAGGGATTAGTCTATTGTTGATATGAATTTCATGTTCATTTCAAATTTACATGTTCACTATTAACAACGATTTTTGCAAATTCCCTCACAGTAATGCTTTTTCCGTAGAGGAAAAACGCGGAGTAAAATGATAAGCCCAATAGTGAATATGTTCTCTATCGTACAATTTTCAATCCACTTGTGAGATGAGGTCGAATTGTTGGAATCTCTCCCTGGGCGCAATAATTCATTCCATCGCCGTATTCATTTGACCAAACAGGTCCTCTACCTCTACATTTTCGACATGGGGTAGCGGAAAAAAGCCATCAGCCAAGAGGGATGTGACGAGGCGTATAGAAATGGCGCATGGAAAATGGGAATTATTGGAAACGCTTTTCATCAAAATTTATCATGACTTTTTAGTTTTTTTTTCACTCCCTCTCTTCGTGCTTATTCATCTGTCGTAGAATGTATGCGCGAGGATGTTTTTGGAGTGGACACATTTTTTGCTCGCAACACAAAATAATTGGATAGATATGTGTGCCCATGATGTGTGGCAATGCTTGACAATTTTATAGTGCGGGGTGTACTTTTACGCATTGGTTGTGCAGATTATTAAACTTGTACAAGCACAGGGAAAATCCTGAGTTTTGGTTATTGCGCTTGTTAGCACAGAATGTTCACGGCGGATGGATTATATGTGTGCTGATGTGCGAGGAAATAGCGGCGTGTTGTAGGCTTAAAGTTCGCCATGGAGACGCGATGCTCGACAATAAAAAAAAATGCAGAACATCCGAGAAAAAATGTCAAAGTTGGATGAAAATGTCAAAGTTTAACCAATTAAATCATCATTTTTCCCTACAAAGCCACCGTACACAGGGAATCGATAGGCACGTCGGCTCGTTAAATAATTCCCAAGCAGGCTGAATATCATTCTGCTCAAATGGAAGTGAAATACAAAACGTTGGGGCTGGAGTGACAGTTTTCTATTTCTGAAATGCCACTTCTAAATTGACTGTGGGTGGTTTCTTCTGTGTTAATAACACCCATAGAGGGGATCACAGAGGCTCTCTGGCGCTGGGGGAGCAGGCATTGGAATTGCAATTAAAAGATTCATCGAGGTATGGCAACCGTGATATTTAGATGAGAGCTCTAGAGCGTCTCTCACCACCAATGCGAATATGTATTTGCCCTTTTTTCCCACCCGTCAATCTCGTATTGGGAGCAATAATGGGGTGCGTCACTGTGGGGTGTCTCTTGGTGTAATTATTGTTTATCCAGCACACAACCCTTCGTCACCGAGAGACGGCAGTTTTGCCCAAAGTGCTCACCCAAACGCTAATTTACGCCACTGTGCCAAATTTTATGGGTTGCGGATGTGCGGGAACAATGAGAGAAATGTCGTGATATTAAATTAATTTAAATTAAAATTGGATCTGAGCTGAATTCAGCCGATTTGCTGTCTTCGTCAGATATTTTTTTAGAGGATTAGAGTTATTTCCAGCCTCAATAGTGGACTTTATTTGGGAAACATTCAATTGTATTGTATTATCAGAATGAAAAATATCGCGTTCCTCGTGTGAATCAGTTTTCTCAATTAATCCAAATTAGATTTGGGCGTGCGAAAATTGAGTAAATTTATTGAGTGTGTGGCCACTTTTTATTCACGATAATACTTGTTGAGTGGAGAATTTATATAAATGGGAACAACTGTGTGAGTGATACTTTTGGGGTCGCAAATGTGCGTGTCTCATCAGCAATAATGCTGAAATTTATCCTCCACGCTCTAATTGATAAATTAATTTTGATTAAATTAATTAAGTAATGGAGAAAATTGAATTTTGACATCGAATTTTCATCAATTCCCTAACTTTGGTTGGATTTATGGACTTTTGAGGGGCTTAGAAGCGATGATGAATTGTTTGATATGCATTTTATTGGGAGGATTCCCACTCAATTCAGTATCGCTAGGTGTGGAGAAATTAAAATTGAGACGAATTTGGAGCACAAGGTACACATTTTGGCCCAATAAATCTCCTCTTTATGAAATATGTTCCTTGAGAAAAGGGAAGACCGGAGAATATTGCGCCAAGTTGGCTTTCTTTTCGCTTTCATACATTTTATAATGCTTCCCGTCTTTCTCAATGTATGAGATGAAATTGAATATCGCGTGGAAAAGAAGTAGCGTAATGGGGAATTTTTAAATCGTTACTGCCTTTGAATTTTCATATCTCACAAATAATAAAATATACATCTTATGAAGAGCGAAACAGAAATGAAGAGGAATTTTATATTTTTTGCCTTTATCTATAGAGGCACAATTGAGGAGGTTTGCTTACAAATCATATCTACTCAAGTGCCACTTAATATGTACAATTGTGCAAAAAATGGGGGTGAGATTGGTTGAATTGATGAGGTTTGAATAATAATTGTGAAGTAGTTAATTCCAGTGCGAATGATTGTATATTCAGTGAAATTCTGTATATGAATGTGTTGTGAGATAATTATGTTTTGTAGTTTATTTGCAACATAACCGAGTGTATATATCAAATTCTCGATTATTGTGTGCTTTCACATAACATGATATGAAAAGAAAATAATAGGCATAATGAGCTGATTATGTTTCTCATGAAAGGTGAATTGAAATGGAGTTGTACAAATGGAATAATAAGGACTATTGTCAAGGACATGTAGATTTTTCACATTATTACATTTATTATTCATAGTAGAAATTATAATTTTTCTCTTGCTGTGGACTTATTGAAAACTGTGAGCTTTTTATACATTCTATTGTAGTGAAATATTCTCTTTATTCTCTCCTTTCCATTTCCTGGAGAAAAAAAAAACCCCACCATTTCATAATTTAGATTTAGAAAGTTAAACATTTTTTCTATATATATACTTTTACAATAAAAACTGTGCTTATTATATTAACTTTCGCCCCTTGAATTTTCACCACTAATATATATTTTTTTCATTTCTCTCGACCATGTGCCATTTATAACGAAAACACAATACAGGGTCAAGAAATACCAATTTACATTTGGTACGAAAACTACCCAACACACAGCGGCGAAGGCTACGAAGGACGAGTATCGCGTGTGTCCCCGGATTCATCTTTTGGCGCAGCATCCCTCAACTTGACGAATATTCGTGAGTCGGATCAGGGGTGGTATGAGTGCAAAGTCGTGTTTCTCAATCGATCGCCCAACAACAACAAGAACGGCACTTGGTTCCATTTAGATGTTCACGCTCCGCCGCGGTTTAGTGTCACCCCCGAGGATATAATCTACGTTAATTTAGGTGAGTCTCTATTTCTATTTGTTTACACATGTCAATCATGGGGCAGGGCTTGAGAAATAAAATGAATCCAACAATGGTCAATTAAATGTAGGTAAAAATAGCTAATAAATAATTTGCAAAGTGGCAATCATCAATGCAATTATAGAATTTTCAGTGATTAATAACCTGCATAATTTCAATAACTCCACTCAAAACATTTTGAGTGCCTTCGAAATGTCCGGCTTTTGTTTGCTGTAGAGAGCACAAATATCAAATATTTCCAATTAAATGTATTAATAAATAATGGGATTAATTTCGCGCGAAGAGTGTGTGTATTTTCAGTGAAATTGGTTAATTTTTATTATTAAATTTTTAATAGTGATATAAATTTCACACTATGCCATATCGACCAAGTGTTGCAATTGACGGTTGTACAGTTGTATTGGATTAAACGATAATGCCGCACTTGTGAAATTTCATTGGACAAGTTCAGTGCGGGATAAAATATATATAGAATATTGAGTATGAATTGTGTTGAAATATGAATACCATCTTCGGAATATATTGTTCCGCATGCATGATCCATGAACCCTTCATTAGTATTTGTCATTCTGGCGGACGGGAGAAGCCACAAATCACTCAGCCCGATTTCGGCTCCACCGCATAGCATAAAACCACCGCCACCCGGCGTCTCCACTTGACTTTTCTACACTCAGCCAGCGGCAAAAGCACCCCTCTCGGCCCCCTGATAGTTTTGAGGGGGTGGCGAAGAAAGTTTTACGCTATATGGGGAGACTTTGAAAGTGCGAATGGTGGCTGTTTTGCCCTCATACATTAAATATGCCATGCAAGAAATACATTCAACCGCGCGCTGTGATATAAAAGAGCTCGTTGGTGGTGCTGTGGTAAATGAGAAAAGTGATTAAAAGTTAATTTCGAACGTGTGTGTTGGGGAGAAAAAATAATTAATAAATCAATTCTATCTCGGAGCGAAATATAAATTAATCTCTACACTGAGTTTTTTTTTATACTGTGAAATAGGGGCGTTTTCCTTTAGGTATATTGTGCAGTTCATGAGCTTTAAATTGTGTGTGTAGTCAACACGACGCCTGTGGATGTGTGGCTGAAGAGGAATTTTCTCGTCTGTTCACAGGTGATTCAATAATTCTAAATTGCCAGGCCGATGGCACACCGACACCCGAAATTCTGTGGTACAAAGATGCCAACCCGGTGGAGCCTTCTTCTACTGTGGGCATCTTTAATGACGGCACCGAGTTGCGCATCTCAACCATCCGCCACGAGGACATCGGAGATTACACGTGTATCGCGCGCAATGGTGAGGGCCAAGTCTCCCATACGGCCCGTGTTATAATAGCGGGCGGCGCTGTTATCATGGTAAAAAAATTGAATGTGTTGAGAACTATCCTCCCTCAAGACTCTATTTTGATTTTTGTATATACTCTGTTGCTTTTGGGTTCTCAATTGTTCCGCGATCTTGTCCCACACAGTGTGGAGAAATGACACAATTTTGACATATTTTTATTTCCTGTACAGACACAATATAATATTGTTTTTTTCTCTTCTTTACATAATTTTCTAATGCAATTTTTTTGTAATGTCCTCTGTAGATGCCTTTGGATGCTGGGGTGGCGATATAATAGCCCCGCAGCTGAAGAGTAAAATGATAATAGCACGAGATTTTAACCTCCACAATTCCGCGCTATTATTTTTCACTGTTATTCTCTTGTAATTCCACGTTTGTGTTTATTATTTCCCATTTATTGGCTATCTATTCATCCGATTCACATTGAATTATCCTTTATTCAGCTGCAGTGAAGAAAGAAAGAAAAAAATAACATTTGTGTTTATAATGGAAATGGTGTAAACAAAAAAAAAGAATTATATTTTCAAATGTTTGATTAATATCTCGAGTGGACACGAAAATAACTTGTGTACTGATAGAGCACGCTTCATGTTCGATATATGGTTGATAGCAGGATAACAAAAAGTGTGTTGCAGTGCTTACAAATTAATTTTTTTACCCATGTCATACAGAGAAAAGCAATAAGAAAAATGAATGATGTGAGATGGAAATACTATAAAAAAAAATGGATATTTGAGAGAGAGAGAGAGAGAGATAAATTGTGAATCGCGCCTGTCCCGCTGATTCATTTCAATCATGTTCCATTAAAAATCTACATCATTTGCATAAAAACCGTTTTTCCACACCTCAAAAAACACTTTTTCCGTATTTGTTATCGCTGCTCCACTATTTTTCTCAACATTCCCCCCTTTTTGCGTGTCTCTATGGTCCGAACTTCACATTGCGGAACAAGAGCAATTCGTGCACTATAGCTTTTCACAGGCATTCACAATATGTACTGGTATGTAACGTCCTGCACATACTGTGAATTCTATTCACACATCCATATTTTCTGTCTCGGAATTGAACCTGATAACTCTTCACTTGAATGAAAATCGAAAAGTGGCATATAGAGACATAAGTCATCATTTTATGTTCCACACATTTTTCTCTCTGTTTTTGGCGTTAATTTTCCAATTGGACTGAGAACCGCAGATATACAAAATTCTTTTTTTCAAACGATGTTCTTTTACGATGCCATTTTATTTGTTCATTCAATTTTTTTGTCCTGATTGCCCCTCTATCACGTACTGATTTTTTTTAACCCTCTGCAAACTTTCGATTCTCTTTTTTTCGTTAGTCACATCACAAAACCATTTTATGCATCCTCCTCGAATCCCATTATCAATCACGTACAACATAAATAAACAATCAATTAATTGGCATTTTGGCCGCATGGTGAGCTTTTCGTATTTGCCCACAAAGCCTCGCGTGAAAGGGCCTCTTTGCGGAGGGCTTTTGGTGGTGAACAGAAAAAGAGAAGCTCACCACGGTCATTTAACATACACACGCAGTGAACATGGAAAAATTCAACAAAAAAACACACACGCAGCATTGGAAAGGAGGAAAAAGGCCCATAATGATGACTCTTCTTGCAGGTGCCGCCCACAAATCAAACGAAGTTGGAGGGCGAAAAAGCTCAGTTCACTTGCGAGGCTAAAGCAATGCCGGGCAATGTGACGGTGCGATGGTTCCGTGAGGGTATTTCAGTTCAGGAGGTGGCCGCCCTCGAGACACGTGTCACCATCCGAAAGGATGGCACATTGATCATCAATCCAGTGAGTGCAGATGACTCCGGGCTGTATTTGTGTGAGGTGTCCAACGGGATTGGCGATCCGCAGAGCGCTTCGGCCTATTTGAATGTTGAATGTAAGTCATTTTTCCGTATTCTGAGTCAGTATGTGTGTGTGTGTGGATGTGTACATAAGTTTGTGCGACAGATTGACCCAATTCCCGAGGTACTTGCTCTGTGCAATTGAGAGTTTGGCTAAGGACCATATGCTGTGAAATATGCTTGTGGTGTCAAGCGATAGCGAGGATTTATATGAGAGGATATTAAAGTGCTTTCAAATAATCTCGAAAGCCCAAATAAAGAGATTTTAATGATTTCCTTGAATATAATTGTAGAGATTACTTGAGGTGATGCGGAGACTTTGAAGGGCACCAATAGAGGGAATTAGTGTAGTGTCTAGAAGCATAAAAAAATAAGGAGAGGGTGAACTATACTCAGAAAGCAGATAGAGCCGATGCAGAATCCACGAATATCAAACAAAGGCGATGGAAAAAGAAGAAAATATAGCAGCCCAAAAGTGGTTCACATTGAATCCAATGCTTCAGTGGTTTTGTTTATCGCCTCTCTTCTAGTATATATTAGGTGGGCTTAGAATCAATATAGTTGGTTGGCAGACTGACAACCTGCCAGAATAAAAACAAAGTTGTTACGTATATTTATAATGGAAAAGGCATTGTCCCTTAATGTGGCGATAGTTCCACTCTATGAGTTTGTAAGAAGAGATATGAAGAGTTAGTTCGTGGACGACAAATTCTTCGATTGGTGAGTTTCAAACGGTTTTTTGGTTCATAAAATGTTCACTCGTGTTGTCTTCAATGTTTAATCCCGAGATTAATCCACTCATCTTAAGACACTAAAGTCCCAAAGTCAAACACAGTGGGATCTTTCAGAACCTCTGCCACTCTTTTCTCTCTCTCTGCAGATCCTGCCAAAGTGACCTTCACTCCAACTATACAATATCTACCCTTTCGACTACAAGGCGTTGTGCAGTGCTATATAAAGGCAAATCCTCCCCTACAATATGTAACATGGACCAAAGACAAGAGGTTGCTGGAACCTTATCAAACACGAGACATTGTGGTGATGAACAATGGCTCCCTCTTATTTACACGTGTCAATCAAAATCATCAGGGAAGATATACATGTACACCGTACAATGCTCAGGGTACGCAGGGCTCGTCGGGGCCCATGGAGGTGCTCGTGCGGAAGCCACCCGTGTTCACAGTGGAGCCCGAGCCCATGTACCAGCGCAAAGTGGGCGAGACGGTGGAGATGCACTGTGACGCCCTGGAGGCCGAGGGCACGCAGAAGCCCAACATTCAGTGGCAGAGGCGCGACGGGACGCCGCTGCAGCGCAATAGAGTGAAGACCACCAGCGGCAACATAACGATCGAGAATTTGCGGAGATCTGACTTTGGGTACTACCAGTGCGTGGCATCCAACGAGGTGGCCACTATCGTGTCGGCGACGCAGCTGGTGATCGAAGGCACACAGCCTCATGCACCGTACAACATCACGGGCACAGCCACGGAGTTCTCCGTCACCATCTCGTGGATGCCCGGCTACAGCGGAGGTCCGGACTACAAGCAGGACTACACGATTTGGTACCGCGAAGGTGGCGTCTCGGAGTGGCAGACCATCCCAGTGACTCCATCCGGCAGCACTCAAGTCACCGTCAACCGTCTGTCGCCTGGGACAATGTATGAGTTCCAGGTGTCGGGCAAGAATGTCCTCGGCGACGGGCTCATGAGCAAGATCATGACCATTCGCACTATCGGTAAGTCTGTTATTCCTAGTCAAAAGAGAGCTTCATCGAGAGAGATGATCATATAATTCAACTGCGCCAACTAACAACTCTGGCTGACTAACCAATATACACCCTCTGTTAGACGTGAATGCGGCAAAGAAGGTGATTCAGACAACATCTCCGGCTCCGGTGAATGAAAATGAATTCGTTCATGCATCCGATGATCTTGGTAAGATCCACCGCCGGGATTCCACGCATTTTTCGGCTATTAGAGCCACTTAGTGTCTTTATTTGATGCCCACCCATGTTATTTACCTGTTCAAATCACGCAAGAGTGCTTCACGTATTATCACATTTCACTATACAACCGTATATAGATGTATTTTTTTGGTCATTTGTTCGTCTCTTCAGTTACTTTCTTAAAAATATTTAGCACACTCCGGCTGAGAGACATTTTACACACGCACTTTCTCGTCACACAATTTGAATTTTCAGCTTATTTTTCTCTCTCTCTTTTTTTTCTCATCTCAACTGACATTTCAGATTAAACTTCCGCAACTCCATAAAATGTGCGCTGTTCAAAGCAGTCTCCCAATAGCATTAAGTCTCTTTATTTCTCAATTATATAGGGTATGACATAAACTCCCCTGACTGAGAAAAGATGTTGGCGGATCTCGTGGAAGTTTTCTCTGCACAATTTGTCTTAGTATCTTGCAAAAATATCCCACAATTTAAATCGCATTTCCCTCCTCACTCCAAAGTGCACTTTAAATGTTCTCCTTCGTTCGTGCTTTGCCGTTATGTTGAAACAATTTTCCATGAGATTCTTTTTCCGGTGCATTTTCTGTGCTATTTTCTTCCCCTTTTCCGCGTCTTACTTTATGTCCTGCGGGATGGTTAAGTTTTTCCCTTTTTTGGGAGGGGGAGAGAGAGAATGGGAAGATAATCGTTCTCATGTGCAAAATTCTATTGGAATTTTATGTTTGGAGGGAAGTTTTCCTCGGCAATTTGTTCAATGAAATATTCCATACTTTGAGCATTTTATACCCCTCGCCAGCCATATCGTCCGTCTGGTGCGGGAAGCCCTCCATTTCATGGGTTTGGGTCATGCGTTAACTCATTGGAGGGTGGAAAATTTCATATTTTGGGGCTTTTGTGGCGTGTGTGTGTGGGGGGAGCAAATCAATGGGCAAGCGGACGGGGTGAACTTGTGCAGAGGGTCTGAAAGATGATCGGAAGTGTGTGAGGGAGCACGAAAGTTACGCACTGCTTAGTATTTTCGATAAATGACTGTCATTAATTCGAGTCAGACGGGGTTGAATGGTGTGGATATAAGAAGGGGAAAGTTTCTCACACTCCACAAAACATCCATTGCTAATGAGTTTTCCACTTCATTTGCTCGCGACGACTTGGCAAGTTAATTTCCTTGTCGACTGGATGCTCACTTCTTCAGTCACTGACACTCCAGGTCCGGTGTTGTGTGGACGACGAAGGGTGGATAAATTGCTCTAAATGAACACGTTCAAGAGTTGACTTGTCACATAAATTGTATGGATGTATTTACAATTTGAAATGCGCTGCAGATCGTCTGATTGGAAAATTGATTACAACTGCAATTGTGTGTTCGCCTTGGTTTCGCATTAATTAAATGCCCTCTAAATGAAGAAAGACTTCCCCCGATGTTTTCTTGTGGGGAAAACTGTCACATTCACTGTCCGTCTGAAAGAAATTCAACTTGGAACATCCTTCAGTTGTCTTCCAGTGCTTTTACCTGTTTGTTTTTTTTGTTTCTTCTCCTTAATTTTCTCTCGACAGAGCTCACATTTGTTCATCCTTCACTGTGTTTGTTTTCCTTCTCTTCACATTTTTCATTTCACTTTCCGTTGCAGATATATTAAGTTATAGAAATATTCTCTTTCCGACTGATTCCACCGGATCCACATACTTTCCTCCGGTGTTTCGGCCTAAAGGTACACACAACAAAATAGCACACACTAAGGAAAAAAGGGAGAGGAAGGGGTAGAGAATGATGAGAGCCAGAAAGCGCAATGACACTGTTGAACGCTGGCTCTTGTATTTACTACTCTCTCTCTTTTTTCAACACTGACAGTCTCTTGTGTGCCTGCTGATTTTCCAGTGTTGCATCTTGTTCGATATTTTGTCTACTTTTTCCATCCTCGCTGCCATTGTGCCCAGTTTTACCTTCATTGAATGCATAAATTTTCCCCGCATAGCTTTTCCTGGTCCAACTATCCTTCCTGTCTGTGTGTAGTATATATATATGTATGTTGTACTTTTTCACCAGTTTTACAAGCAACAGAACAACTCGGAATATTTTATCATTTTGGTGTGAGTTGCTCGAGAATGCCAGTGAAAAGTGTCTCATTTGTTTTTCCCTGTTTTCACAGTTCTCTTGCTGGCTTTTATGGCTCAAGGGTGAAAAAGTCGTCGAGTGTAGTTATCGCGGAGTGAAAGATATTCAGCACTATATTTTTTTATTTAGAATATATAGTTGCACAGTCAGTTTCGAGAGTAGTTTTGCTGACAAAAATAGTTTAAATGCTTATATTTTGGTTTTGACTGTTAAGCATATACAATTGTACACTAGTGCGACCGATTTTCACCGCCTTGCGCATAAAAGATCAGCAAGCCGGGTTGATTTTCCGAGTGAAAACGAGATCCAATTGTGCAAGAGCCCTCAATAACCCTGTGTTTCTCTTTTTATCTCTTCTCTTTCTTCCCATCTTGGGTGAAAAAAAAAAAACATATATAGGCCCGAAGCCCGGGGTGCCGCGCAATCTAACCGTGACGGAAGTTTCCAATGGGTTCCTCATCTCGTGGCAAACACCGCTGGAGCGCGCTCATCTCATCCAGTTCTACACGATAAAGTATCGCACAGACGCGCAGTGGAAGACACTGAACCGTGGCCAGATTCGACCGGAGGACACGTCGTACCTGGTGAAGAATCTCGTTGGCGGCCGCACATACTATTTCCGGGTGCTGGCTAACTCGCTAAAGAGCTACGAATCCAGCGAGGAGGTCAAGTTTCCTGTGCCAGCGCGCGTCAAGCACAAAGCAATTACGGCTGGCGTCGTTGGCGGAATATTGTTCTTTATAGTCGCTATCATTCTATCTATTTGTGCTGTAAAAATATGTAACAAGCGAAAACGACGAAAACAGGAAAAAGGTGAGAGTGATATTTTCTAAATTGGTCACAAATGGCGCCCAAAAGATCGAAGGTGTAGAGAAGACAAACAGTTTTTGACACTGCGTGTGGTTTTAACACCTCATCTTCCACCCCCTCTCTTCATTTTATATATCTTTAATATACTCACAATTTTTGCGTTCACTAACGGCATTTCTTTTCAATTTACACCTAATTTCTTTTTTTCGTGGTAAATTGGGTCATTTTCCCTCTCATTTCTTTTCAGTATTATCTCAGAACATTTATCAGAAAGAGAAACTTCACGCCTCTTTATTGCAAAAGAAAAAAAAATCACACACAAACACACACAGACACGTAAAAATTGATTATTTAATACTAAAAGTTAATCACCGATTCTAATTGATGTGCCAATTCGCTTATGTGTCAGTGAAATTAACATTGAAATTGATTTCTGATCAAGTCTCCGCGTGATTATTATCTATTGTTATTATGTGACTTTTGGGGGTGAAATTTGATTTTTCACAAACAATAATTTATACCTCCTGTTACGTCAATACATATTTTATAATTTGCCTGTTTTTATCTCAATAACAGAACATTTCACCTATGATTTTCTACTTCCCCACTCAAAATATATATCTAAAATTTTCAAATTGCCACACACGGCAATTAATAATAATTCTATTTTGACGGAAACAAATTATGACAAATTTTCCGTATTATTATTGTAATTTCTACACAGAGAGAGTACTGATTTTATTTGACTATATGTGTGTATTTTTTGCATATTTGCAACAATTTATTATTGAAACTTTTTGAGTGTGCGTCAAAAATCACAAATTATTTTTTGTGACAACTCAAGCTAATGCGTTTTTTACGGTGATTCTGCATTGTGAGCTCCAAATTGTCCTATGTTCCAAAAACAATTTCGCACATGTGATGGAATAAATGTGCGAATAGACTAGAATATTTGTGGTGTGACTTTTTAATGATGACATGATGTTTTGATCGCTGCCAAAGAATGACTTTTAACTCTGCGTGTTGGCTCAATTTGATGTAATTTAATTGATATATTTTTACATGCAGAGATTTCGGCAAAATCATTCAATTACATCTGATTTTTCCACAACATTTGACTTTCAATTAATTCATCAGATGCCAGCAGTGCGTCGTACGCGATAAAAATTCCAATCTATTGACTTTTGATTACGGGGAAATTTCGTGTATTCACAGTGAACATTTTTTACCAAATTCATTACTTCTGGCAGATTTTTTTTTGTAAAGTCACAAGAGAATTAAAAAATCAGTGGTGCATGTGATAAAAATAGAAGAATGCGTGATATTGCACACGCTGGGGAAGTTAATTGGATTTTTGGCCTTAATTATGAGGCGAATTTGCAAATTGGCGCTCGCGGGTTAAGAGCTCGTGGGGATTTAGTATAGTGGTAGATTATATATTGTAAATTTGTGTTTATCATAGAGCAATTTTTGTGTGAACTCCAATCAGAATCACCACACAAACAAATAGTATCACAGCGAAATAAGAACAATCTTCCAGTGCTTGATGAGCACGGGTTTGAATGGAAAAAAAGGAGGCAAAAGACCCTCTTGCAAATGTCGAGCTCAAGACAAGTTGTGGATGCGATGTCGCTAATGTTAACAGGCAGCCGTAAAAAGATATGGATTAATCATAAAAATGTGCCATGCACAATGTTCCTTTTTGCAAAAAAATGTCTTCACACAAATTGTTATTTATGTAAAAGAGGCATCAAGGTAAAAGAACAAAAAAAGTAGCTTGACTTTATATGTAGCGTAGCTGTGTTTCTCTAGTGGTTAAATATCTTTAGCAAATATTTTTCATTTAGAAAATTGTCTTTCTCTCTCGCCTTTCTTTCTCTCGCCATTCGCATGTTGTCACTTTATGCTTTCCGCGGAGATTTTTCTCCTTCCACAATTACTAATTTATACTTTTACTCCCTGTTCGAGTGACTGATTAGTTTATTTCGTTTACTAGTAGATTTGTTTCATAAATAGCGTGACAAGAGCTCTCATCGCGAGAGTGGAAAACATATTTTGTTGAAGAAAGATGAGACAATCATATTTTATTTCACTCCATTCTCTCTCATTTTTGGTCAATATTTAATTTGGCAACTGTTTTTTCTTCAAGAGTATGCCTTTTCCCCCTTTTTTACGTAATTACTTTTTCATTCTCATTCACCTTGATTATGTTGTTTTATATCATCATTCCAGTGTATCGTATATAAAGTCTCTTTTTTGAGTATTTCCTTCCTTGTTTTTCGTTTATGATAAACCACCATCATACACCTTGGTGAGTGGGTCGCTAATTTATTGCCAACTTCTTATCAAGCAGCCGCTATCCTTTATATATATACGGAAAAGAAAGAAGACAACCCCAGTTAAATAATCCCATTTTTCTCCACATAATCTCCGAATGAGAATACTACCTTTTATCCATATATTGTTCTTTCGAGAATGCTTTCCAGATAAATTTCGATGGATATGAACAGAGAGATGTTTAAAATATGATTGTGAGTGACTTCTTTCCACAGCACTTTCTCAATTTTCTATATATATAAAGGGGGGATGGGCTCACTACAACCCCAATTAATTGTAGAAATTATTCGATTGCAGCATACAACATGGTAGCTTGTAGGGTGACGGATGCCCAATACGGAAAACGAAGATCAGGCTCCAGTGGCCCTAGTCAAGTGCCTTTGAGAAAGTGAGTATCCTCCTTTGTTGGGTGTTCGAGTGTATTCATAAAACTAACCACCTTTCAGTAGCATTATGTGCTGTGTCTCGTCAATGTACAGTTTAAGTGTAAAACTAATCTTAAGTGATGAAATTGGATGTTCGAGAGCTTTTCTCAGGCATTTCTCTCTTGTTTGATAACGTATAGAATGCAGAATGCAGAAAAGGGGTTTTGTGATTGTCTGCAATTCATCGTCATCATCATTTGTCTTCATGATTTTATATCTCATTTAGTAAAGTTCTACGTACTATTTCTGTGCAGTGACTATGTGACGAGCTGAAGTCTTCAGGGACGAGCAAAGGAACTCTCAACACGTTAAGGAGATCTACAATTACTATTTTAACAGGGGATTTGTTTATATTTTTCACATTTTATATATTTTGGGCATTGATAAAACCTATAATTGAATTGTCAGAGGGTAACAAATTGCTCTTTTTTTCTTCTTCTCAATTCACCGGAAAAACAGTCCGTCAATGCATAATCCACGAATTAATTCTCAATTATATTTCATCTCCTGAAATCGCGTTTTAACGACCTTTTCAATCAAATTCACTGGCGGTGCATCAGAAATGACCGATACGTGGCTTTTTGCTGCTCTTCATGCTCGAGAGATGTCCGTCGAATTATGATGATCAGGATAACAAATGATGATGATGTTGCTGACGTAATTACTGAACAGCGTTTATTTATTCCCAAAGTGAATTATTAAAAGTGCCATGCATGATGGAGCTTTGCAGGTACGTTTTTCGGGCAATCCGTGCGGAAAACAAATAAATTGTTAGTAAATTCAATTTTAATACATTAAATTCTGATAACGCATCTCGCTAAAATGCTCGTGAAGTATTTATACTGTGTCGACAGCACTTGCTGTTAAAGGGGATGGTTTTTTTTATTATTCCCACTCACTACAAGTCGTAAATGAATCAATATGTGTGTATGTGCGCCCCGGAAAAGCTCTCACTCTGAACATGAAAAAAAATGAATAAGAAAATTTCAACACTATTTGTGAAGCAACCTTTTCAAAAACATGTATTTTTTCTCATTATTCTCTCACCAATGCTCACGCTATGGATCATATATAATTGTTTTTGCTATCGTGCAAAATAATACCGTTCGCGTGAATCGAAAATGAAAAAAATATGCGAAACACACCGTTTCCATAAAATCAGGATAAAAGGTGAACAATTTTTTCCAGACACTCAAATTTTGTGTTTTGCATGGTTGAAGTGTTCCATGTTTTATTGTTTCTTTGACTCGACGTGCTTTTTTCAGCTCGTCATTTCACGTTATATTGTTTGAAAAAAACCCGCACCCTTGCGCGATGGGGGCGAAAACTCCTCCTTGGCGCCTCCGCTGAACATGTGGTCAGCGGCGTGAGGCACAAAAGGCTGGGATTACGGGGGAAGGGCGTGCGCCAGTGGAGCTGATTTTTCCAAGTGGATAGCCAAATGAATAGTACGTGAGGTCGAGGGGGAGAAAAAATGCCCCGGCAGAAGGCCCATGAATCATCCCTGGGCTGCCGAATGGGGTGAGGATGAAGCCCTGATTGTGCGAATAAGTGTTGGCGCGTGAAATGACCAATGCGGAAGGATGAAATGTGGACCAAAAGGTGTTGTCTTTTGTACGGTCACAGAATGCCAAAGTAATTTACTCCCTCTTTTGCCCTCACTTCTAATTACACGCACCGAAGGTGTGATTTTAGGTGGAATTTTCGCCCCGATTGGAATCACTCGATTTTGCAGTGAATTTTTAAATATTAAATTAAAATACGAAATACATTGAAATTCTGCATACGATTTTAATTACGTTGTAATTGCACTCAAAAATTGTGTGAAATTTAATCAACGAGTCGGAAAAAATGAAACCGAATTCGACAAGCTTCTCTAATTTCGTGCATTAATTTAAAAAGTTATTTGTTTAAAATATTTCACCTGAATTTACAATTTCAAAGTTATCAGGTGTCATTTGCATTGTTAATAGCAAAGAGTAATTTGCAACTCACAATTTAATAAGCAACTATAAATGCTTTGTTGATAAATCAATAATCGAATTGAATTTGGGGGTGTTCGAGCGGGCGAAACCTGAAGATTTTATCACACATTCAATCTCCTCTAATTTATTATGGGAAATGCAAATGATTCATAAAGAAATGAACTAAAATTTGTATCCAACGTAATCTTTAAAAAGTTCTCCCTCTTGATTGAAATTGTCTTTAAAACTTCCCTTTTTAGCTGTTTAAATTCGGTCCTGCGACCCTCTCGAGATGCTAAAATGAAAATTCCTGGAGAGCACAAAAGGGCAAGTGAAAAAAAGAGATCCACCCCAAGGGAACTGACCCACTTCCCCATTCATACCTTCCCTAAACATATTGTGGGACCGTGATTAATTTGCTATTTTTCTGAATTTACGCCGCTGCGTTCTTTATTATTTTAATGACTTCATCAACCCTCCTGATGAGGCTCTTTTCGCGTCGTTCCCTATCACTTTGTCCACTTTTGTCCGGACTAACTGTGCCTCATGGTGCTTTTCTCCTCTGTTTTGCCATGCGTAGAATAATGGAATAATTTTCCATACCGAAGTTATTGTGGTGTGTGAGACAAATTGCATCGCATTTCTCAGTTTGGGGAGAGACAGAGTGAGTGTAGGAAAAACCCTTTTTGACTTTAAGCTGAAGCACAAAGAAATGCACACTGAAATTGTGCATTGCCGGAAAAGAGCTCAAAAAATGGATGAAATTCTTTTTCACTTGTCCAAAGCGCCCGAAGCTTCTGTCCACCTGAAAACGCCTCACACTCCCCGTTCTTCGCGGTCCTAACTTTTTCCCTTTGGCCATCGCAAGGCAGAGAAGATGGGCCAAGATGGGCGCAATACTCGAGCGGGGGGGTAAAAATGAAAGTGAGACAATGTTTTGTAAGTAGAAGCTTTCAGGAGGGGCTTGTGTGCAGCAAAGTTTTTTAATTAAAAAAGTTCCTGGGCTGAATTGTTCGTCTGCTTTTCACACGGTGAGCGCGTTAATTTATAAGTATGGGAATGGGAAAATGATTCTGTCTCGGACTCCGGTTATGGCGATTTAATTGGGAAAATTGCTAAAGTGTCGTTAAAAATACGGGTGAAAAAAGAACGGAAGTGTGTGTATCCCTATGGAGAAAATTGCAGCATTCTCTCCAGCTTTTCTCCCATCCGTAGAATTAGCTCAAGTGTCCACCTTGCTTATTGCATTGTGTCGCCTCTGGCAGCAATTGACGTAAAAGGAAAGTTTCAAGTCACTGATATTGAGCCGTTAAATTGTTGTGAAAAGTTTTCAACAACAAATATCCCACTTCGGTGCGGGAGTTTTTTTTTAATGACAAAATGACATTTTACAAAAAACCTGCAATTTATCCTTTTTTCCCTATTTGTCTTTACCGCATGCACGTTTCATTTATAGAAATAATTTATAAGCCAATCAAATTTTTTAATAAATACACGCTTAATATGATATCAATGGTGCGTAATTATAAAGTGCAATGCGTGCAAATGAATCTACATATTTGACTGAAAAATTAATTTCCATCGGCATTAAAAATGAGTTGCAAAAAGTGAAATAACTCTCTTAAAACAGCGGGAAAAAAAACGGCATTTACATTTATAATTGAGATTAAAATTTTTATTACCCAATTCAAAATGAAACTTTAATTAGACTTTTAAGTAGCCTTTTTTATCGTTTTTTTTTCTCTTTATTATTAATATAGTTGTGCAATTGGACTTGAAATCTAAGCGCAGTTTATTGTTTTCTAATAATTTCTCTCTTTGCGCTTCTTTCAACGCGACGCAGATTTAGAGAAGGCAGAATACCAGGCTTAAAGGCTGTGGCCGCTGTTTTGAATTGGGTCTGGCCACGCGATCGCTGCACCAACTGCAACTCAATTTACACCCTCTCGCTGTCTGACATCGAGGAGCGCAACAGCTTGCGGCAAATCCACCGGGCGCCGGATGGACGCTTCGTGCTGGCCGACGACGCTCTGGAGGCCGACGAGGGCATCGATGTGGTGGATGCGGGTCAACAGAGCGACGGAGGAGCTTCTCAGTGCAGCAGCAGTGACGACGGAGGCTTCTTGCCGCGTCGAAGTCGTGGGAGGGCGTCCTGGCGAAGACCTCTGGTGATCTCGCCCAGTCAACTGAGCTCAGATGGATCCGGACACAGTCGGTACGGATCGCTGCTTGGCCGTGCTGCACCTCTTCTCATGCCGGCCACGCGAGCGCCTCTGCACCAAAATCTGCACATCAGCACGATCAGTGGAGCAGGGACACTTCCATACACACCAGCATCGCGTCTCTCACGCTTCCAGGCCAGTTCGCCGGCCACATCAAGCACGGCCGGCGGCTTGGTGTCACCCTGGTCGCCGCTGTACTTCAGTGATCTCAGTTCTGTTCGACAGTCGAGTGCCGAGAGATCTCTCCCTGCTCCCATGGGCTCTCTGAGATACCTCCAGGACCGCCACTTCCACGAGTTGCCGGCACTGAGGACGATTCACGAGGAGACGCAGAGGATGGCTCGTGGATTCGTGCCCGTTGGTCCTCCGTCGCCTCACTGGCGAGGCTTCCACTATTTGCCACAGACGCACCAGGGCTATCGTCCCTCCCGGGGACGCTTCCTGCCGCGTCAGTGGCGCGCCCGCAGCGCCCCAGACCTCGCGTCGCCTCTCAGCTACCGCACGATGGGCGTGGAGGCATCGCCAGAGAGTCGCAGCAGTTCCAGTGGCTTCGGCAGCAAGAACACCTCCACGCAGCACAACCAGAGCTCCCAGTCCAGTGGTGGCGACTGGCGCTTCTTGCCACCTTATCGGCCCCCTCCGCCGCCCCCGACAGCCCTCGGCTACACGCGCCCCCTGCGAAGGCCTCCCACCCCGCCCACGTACTCCATGAGCCACTGGCTCGATCTCGTGGCCAGGCTCAACAGCGCCTCCGAGCAGGCCAATCTCAGCAAGGCCGTGGACGTGGGCAGCGTGGACGGTCACTATGAGTTCGATCCGTCCACGCCCACGCCCACCGCCTCGACGCCCACGGGGCCGCCGGCTCCGCACCTGCTGCAGCTAGAGCCCTTCTCCCTGGCCAGCGCCCTGCCGCCAGCCGCACCGGGGCCCAGTGGCAGGAAAAGGGTGTCCCGCTATGACAACATCGAGGCCCGCGTGCAGGCCATGAAGGAGGAGTTCTACGCCTATCGACAACGCCAGGCTCTGCGCAGGGCCGGCGTGGAGCTTGAGAGCGCCTGCTGATGGATCTCTGTCCCATTTCGCGCATTGTCGCCTGTCCGCCAAAGGCAACTTCTTCACCTCTTCTGAGTAGACTTTTAACAGCCCTTCAAATCTACACGTTGAAACTTGGAATCGCACAGTTTGTGGTGCAATAGAAGGCCTAATTAAATTGTGCGAATAATTGCGTGGAACGCAGAGAGTAAGACTATTTAGGCTGGCCACGAACTGTTGAATAGTTGAATTACCACCGCTTTGTGTTCGGTTTGCCTCACAAATTCTCACATTTCCGGGCAATTTTCTCCTAAGCCCATCTTTTTCTTCGCTGTCACGCGTCTCTCTTCTTGCGCTACTCTTGCCAATGAATGTGTTCAAAGAGGCGAACAATGCAAATGGAATGGGAGAGAGATTCTCGCCGCAATGTGTGAGAGAGAGAGAGAGAAGTGTTGAACATCTTGAGGTAGAAATTGAAGTAAAAACTGTAAGGACATTCTAGGCATCTACAGACTGAATACTAAGTAATAGTGTGTTGCATTTAATAATTTATTTTTCTAATATTTGTAGCAATTGTGACTGATTTTTTCCAACTCTAATTTTAGTGTTTCTAATTATTAAAGAAATTCTCACACGCTCACGTAGTCGATGATTTGCGTTGAAACTTGATGACGACAGAGAGAATCGTAATATTAATTTCCTGTATTGTTAGCAGCACGAACATAACTGAAAATCTCTCTCTAAATTTTCATAAAGACTCTCCCTCTGCCCCACTGTAATATAGTTATATATATATAGTAGGTAAAATATTGCGAGAGGAGGTGCGAAACAGAGAGAGAGAGAGAAAGCATTCGCGGATTGAGAACAACATAAAACCCATAAGGATTCATTATATAACATAGCGAGTAAAGTGAAACTTTTAAATGTAATTTACGGAAGTAATATTTACAATACATTTTAGGAATTATAAATGAGCAAACAAATTCTAATTAATAACATGAGAAGACAAAAAATGTGCGCGTGGATCAACGATTATAAAGTGTAGAGGGAGATGAAGTAATATTATAAATTATTGAAATAACTTATATAACTCATAGTCATAAATAATATTGTAATTGAAGGTTAAATTTAACATTACAATGTTTCATTTGTATTGAGGTGGTCAAATGGCGAGAGAAAGAGAGAGAGAGAGATAGAGAAGAAAACGTTGACGCGACTTCACTGAACAAATATTTAATTACTAAATACATAAATTAACTAGTGTGATAATGTATTTACGGTGGAAATTTGCTGATGAGAATCGGGATTGACTCTGAGGAGAAATCGATATGATGGAGTGCGTGTGAGTGGCGAAGAAAACGAAGATATAAAAAAATATAGCGTGTAGAATTTTTGCATTTATAAAGGCAGAACAGAAGGTGAGAAAACAATTCATCAGATAGCATAACATATATAGAGGTAATTTTTAACTAAAACCCGAAGGAAAGTCTCACATAGAAAAAAAGACATATTCAGAGGAAGGGATGACGTGAAAAATGTTCTAAATCTCACCATAAGATAGAAAACCAATTGTCACTGTGAAAATTCTATCGTCTCTCGAACTCCTTTAATCCTGAGACAAGAGAAAAAAAAAGTGTAACACGAAGATGAGTGGGAAGATTACTCAGTTTTCCACGTCTCTTTGTCATCCCTCTTTTCACATATTTTCTGGAGAAGAAGAGAAGAAAAAAACAATCCACTCTCGATGGAATTTGCAAATCCATTTCACGTGATTTTCCCATTTTTTGTATCACACTTTGCAATATTTGAATGCAAATGAAGACTCTAAATTTCATCTCTCTGTAAACTCTCTTTGAAAAAGGTTTCTCATTGAAAAGTGTATAAAGGAAATTTACTTAAAAAGAAATCATATTATTTATATTTAATCAAGAAACTAAGAGAGAGAAAAATCGTAGTTAATATGTTTAAAGTGAAATGAAGAAGATGAAAAGTAGAGGGAAAGAAATTCACTCTGAAAAAAAATTGAATGAGAATCACGAATAAATATGTTAAGATCAAATACTAAGAACTGTATATGTCTAAATTTAAAGCATAACTAAACAGGAAGGAATTCATCATGCATATATAATGTTTCCATATTCCATTTTCTCCTCAGACACTTTTTTATCACACATTCGAATAGCCGTATAAATATGGTAGAATTTTCGTACATTCCGTTTTTTTTTCTCACACGATAGAAAAGGTCTAAATTCGTAATGCAAACTCGAAAAATTGTGTTTTCATACTGCGAAAATCGTCTGATCGAAAGACTTCAGTTTGCGCCACCTCAGCTCAAAGAAAAAAAAAACTCGTTGCGAATATAAAATTAATTAATTAACTTAGATAAAAATTTGTACAGTGAAATGAGAAAATATTAAAAAAAAATAATGGCAAATACTGAGAAAAGTAATTGAAACATCATCATAATATCATATTTCTCTTTTTCACTCGCTAAAGGAAGAAGAAAAAAAAAACAACAAACAAACATAAAAACCAACAAGTAATTATTGAAGAAAGATTGAATATTAATGAAAAAATAACATAGAATAAATATTAATTTTACGTAGAGATTGTCAAATTGAGTTTCTGGCGGATGATAAAAGGAAATCGATTAAAACTAATTAATAAAATGAATGAAAAAATAATAATTCTAACGCTTTATCGATCGCTCACCGTGACGATCGACAGTTCTATACAATTTCACACCAACAAAAAAAATGAAGCACATTATTAACAAACGAATATAAAAAAATGAGAAAAATATGATGAAAAAAGCACTTGAATAACTAAAGTAAAAAATAGGCATTAACAATTATAAATATTTAATAAACAAGATGGAAAACTATGCGAAAACATCTTTAGATATTTAGAAAAAAAAAGATAAAAGAAAATGTGAGTGACAGAATGTGACTAATTTGTAGGCATCTAAAGTTTTCGTTTATTCTTCACTTTTTCCACTTTGATATTATCGAAAACTATCAACTTTGAGTACAAATTTTATCAATTGATTTCATTTTTGTTTCTTACAAAAGTCGTAAGGCAATTACTTATATTTATATTTCTTTATCTGAAGTACAACATATTTTTATTTATAATTTATAAACTATTTTAGATCGCGCAGAGTGAGAAGAAGTATGGAAAAAAACTAATATCATGATTATTTGAGTGTGAATGTAAATAAATACCACGTGAATAATTCTTCAAAGTAAAGTGAGAAAAGGAAAGAAAAACCAGAAAATAGTTAATAGAAAGAGTCTTTTAATATATATACAAATACAAAAAAGGAGATGATAAAAGTTTAAAAAAAAACATGAAAAATACAACAAAACGTTTCAATAAGTTTTTCAAAACATGAAAAAAGAGAAAACATTCTTTCGCACAAGACTTGCACGTCATTTAAACAAGAAAAGAGATAATTAATCAATGAAATCAAATAAGAGAATTGTCTTAGGTATTTACTGTATAGTTTTAAAGTGATGGAACGGTCGGAGAGTGGTTGGTGAATCTCATGGAATTGCTCAGCAATTTTTGTGGTATTCAATGGGATTTAATGTGGTGAGCAAATGTGAACAGAAATCACCGTAGATCAATTTCTGATGCGTTTAGAATGCGAAGATACGAAGATTGATGAAACAAAGCGAAAATTCTAAAGATAGACGAACAAACTTAATCCTGTGCAGCATCCCCAGAAAAAGCGCCCCAAAATCATTACCCCCAATTTCCGCCTCAATTAATTTCCCAACCGCATTTGGCACGAGAGGGCAAAACAGATTGGTTTTTAGTGCAAATAATCACACTCACAGTCACTGTAAAACTTCTGCATATATTGACAGACAAGATATGAATATTTAGTAATTTTTAATAAGACAAATTATTAACAGGACACAGTTTGAGATGATCGGTGAGCATATATATATACATATATATTAAAGAAAAAAAAAGATATTTCACAAAATGAGGGTAACAAATTGATATATTCAGTTCTGTTTTAGTTTTGAAATCCTTTCATTTGCATTTCATTCGGAGAGTAAAAAAAAAAGAAAACAATTGATATGCGGAGAGTGAGAAAAGTCAACATGTAAGAGCAGAAGAGGAGAGTGAAAGGAAGGAAAATAGCGCGAAGAGGAAGCAAATGATGAATTAGATGAATTAGTTTTTTAGTTAATAAGTGTTGAAAAATATAGATGACAGTTGTTACTGTGTAACTGCGCTGTATAAAGCATCAAATCCGAGAAAAAGAAAATGAATTCCAAAAAAAAAGTGAGAGAAAAAATACAATAATGTTGCCAGAATAATTGGAATGTTGCCGGAGTTTTCACTTTACGACTGCGGGACATCCCTGAAATTTATTCATAGCCTGTGCGCGCAACCCTTTCGACTCACCGCCGTCGACTCATCAATCATTCAGGCGGCTGAAAAATAGTCGATTGCCCGAGAGGTGGGGTGGAAAAGGAGGCCCATTCACTCGGAAAATGCTACCTACACACACATTTCAGCGTCGGTTCAGGTGATGACTCCCGGGCACTGATATTTTGAACTCCAGCGCCACCGCCGAGGGGCGGAGGAGAGCCTCCAATTAATTTGGATCTTGGCAAAATTTATTTCCCTCGCACGGCGTCTGGGGATGAAGGGTTGCTGCCGCGAGAGTGTGGGAAGGGCGTCACAGATCTGCACCATCAATCAGGGCAGGGAGACGCAGGTAAGTGGAGTATTTTCAATTGCCTGAGCAGTACTTTAACTTTTCAATTGAGATTATGATGCCTCAGAGTGATGCATATTTACAGTAAAGAGCTTTTACCACAAGCAATTTCGAAGCGTGCTGCGACTCCCAATGAATATATTTCCTACGCTTTCCGACAATAGTTGGGCATAAATCTTAGTGAATAATTCTAAATTTGGAGTAAAATCAGTGAATTTATATGAAAGATTATTCGAATTATTAATTTAAAAATAGAAAATAATTAGAATTGCTCAATATTATCAATTTAATTATATCATGGAGATTAAAGGGCGATTTCAATGCTCAAACATCAAATCGCCCCGCTGAAGAGTGACGATTTTGACTTTTGCTGGTTTTCGAGGCACCCGTCGAAATGGACGTGCTCTTAAATCAACGTCCAGTCCATGATATTGATGATTCCGTAAATTCTTTTCTGTGTGTGAAGAGCTCTCCTCTTCAATTACCGGCTTTTACTATTTTTTCCCCTCAATGGACCGAATCATTTCTGATTGAATGAAGAGCTCTCCAGTGACGACAAATCGAATGTGGGTGGAGTGTGTCTATTGAGCGTGATGCAGAGAGAGTGAGAGAGTGCAGGATTTGCCTCATTGGCGCCCTCCTCACCCGCAACATCTCGGCATTGTCCATTCTTTCACCTCCACACCATCGCCCATCGCCTTCAATGGCCATCAATTTGCAATTCACTCGTCACATAATTAATCTCCCTCGCCTGCATTCGCAAGTGCGATGAATAATGAATGAGGGAGAGTCCCCGGGTGGAGTGCGTGGAGTCGTCTGGGCGGCACATCTTGCAAATATATCCAAATATCCATTTCAATCTCATTATTCAGCTGATGAGTTGCGTCTCTATTCATGAATTCACTCGTCTCAAGTGCACTCAATTGCTGTGCTAATTGATCTCGGTCGTCTGTTAATGAGTGATTCACGTTGACACTGTCCCAACTGCTCATTCCCAACCAGACCTGCTTCGGGTATTATGAGAAAATACGCAGGGAAAGTGATGCGAAAAGGGTGGCAAAGTGGACTGAAAAGTCTCTTAAGACCTCTCTTAAGGAAGTGTCTTCGCTAAAGAGACTCTCAATAATTATTCAAATATTTGAAGCACTTCAAGCATCGACTTAATTTGCATCCTCGAACTGTATTACTTCTCCGCCCCTTAATTCTGTGCATACATTTTCCACGAGTGCGTGAAAAACTTCACAAAGTGCAAGTCTCTCAGGCCAGTAAACATTACAGCATTCTCAATGGGAAAATTTATGCACGAGAGAGAAGCTGTGTGTGGAAACTCCGCACACCCGCCACTGCTCGATATGCCAACAATTTAATCAAGGAGTAATTGCGATCATCTCGCGAGAGTGGCTATAAACGTCCATTCATTCTCATTCACCGTCCAGTTGCGAATTGTATTCTCTCGCGAGTGGTTCTGGCCAAAGCACACCTCATCCTCGAGTCTCGTGGAAGACCACCTTCTGGGGCACGTCTGGCGTCAATCACAGTGCTAATGAGAGGCCGTGTGTGAGGAAACGAGTCCGCGAAAGAGTATCAACATTCACGAGGCAGTGATTAATCGTCAATTTGCAAGTTTGTGCGTGTGCGTGTGTGTGTTTGTTTGGAATATGAAGTGAAGTTGATGTTCCGAAGATGCTCAATCAAGGGACAATTCTCACGATCGTGACGACTCTTGTCACTGTCAGTTGCGCATACGATCAGGATTACGTGGCACAGAAGCGTCCAATCTATCTGGAATCCGAGGTGGGATCCTACGTGGTGTTCAACTGTCGCCTGGACTTCCCACTGGACACCCCAATTCCCTATGTTCTGCACTGGATCAAAGACGTGAGCGACCTTTCTCCGACCTCTTTCACTCACAAATTTCCCTTAGCCAATTCCCGCTCGTCTGAATTGGATAATGAGAGCGAAGGTGGACAATTGGCTCCACTTGATTATATAATGTGCACATTTTGCGTCGACGAAAGCTCATCTCTCTCCCGCACTCTATCTTTCTCACTCTCGCAACACGCAAAGTGCGGTCGCGAGAGTGGCTTTCGATGCACGTGATGCTGCATTTCGCTAATTCTATGATGTGACCGATTCATTAGAGCCACAGGGAAGTGTGACACTCAGCTCGTGCCTCCGTTTTGCACCTTGGCGGAGCCAAAGAGCGCCACCAGGCGCCTCCACTGCCAGTGGGGGCGCCTGGTCTCGGCGCTGTCGAGATTCAGCCGCAGAGGAAATGGCAAAATTGCATGAAATGCAATTAGTGATAACGAAATTAGTGGGTTAATTGGACATGGTGTGCTTTTATAGTGATTTAAATGTACTGTCGCTGCATAGTTTGAATGCGACGGATTTTGCCAGGGGATAAAATTGTTGTGAAGTGAATTTCGTTTCGGAATAACATTATCATAAATGTTTATCTTATGTCAAGGAAGAGCATCTCAGTACAAATAGACTTGCAAATAGATGAATTGTCACATTAAATAGAATTTTTCCTAGTCTTATTCTTTTATACATTGAGTGGTAGAATAATAGACATGAAAAGTGTAATTTTTCTTGTCAGTAGAAAACACAGAAATGCATTTTCAAGATTATTCAATGAATACACGAAGATAATTTTATTTGCAATTGCCATTCCTAGAACAATTAAGTTGATTTCCTGTTCTAATATAGGCTAAGTCGCAGATAATAATAGCCGGTCAATTGAAATTGCAAATGCACTCTTTCTCCATGTACGGATAATTTATTGGCGCATTCGATTGTAGTGAAAGTCTTTTGCAATTTGGCATTTTGGGTTACAGAAGAAGACAGGATTGGAAACTCTTGAAATTTCAGCGATATAGGCCTTCTAATTGGTACTTGAGGTCACCATCCAATTGCTACTAATGGGCAATATCTCATCTTTCCAGTCTTAATTTAATCTGTCACTCACACAACCACACTCAGCGACACTAATTAAGCTCGGCACATTCATCATCAAAGCCCAGAGCCACGCAGCATCTCTGCACTTCCGTGGAAACTCAATCGATTTCACGCCGGATGTCAACTGCACCCATTCTGAGGATGCCCAGAGTGTTGACACTGTGAGCATTTTGGGCGCAATTGCTCTCATTTGGCCTCTTTGTGTCGCGCAAAGAGAGTGAATTATGGGGAATTTGTGTCACTCTAATGCTAATAATTCAATTGAGGAGACGGCACTAAGCTTAAGTCTCCTCGAAAGAAGTCAACACTTCCATTTTGTTCATGCCAAATGCACTTTTCACTGCCTTTTTTTCCTGTTCAAGACTTGAATATAAAGATAATTTTTGCAAGGGCGACCTTTTGAGTGAATAATTGTAAAAACTACGGCGAACAAAGGCGCTCATTGTTCGCGCAACAATGGAAAGAATCAGTGAAGAGATCTGGAAAAATGCATTTTCTTTGGGCATCAGCTGTAATTTTGCATGACAAACGGAACAGTGCGGAAGCAAATTAAACAGAATGAAAGCTCTTGAAAGCTCCGTTGTGTATTGTTGCATTAGATATTGATTCTCCTTCAGGGCGAGTAAAGGAGAGCCCTAGAGATATTTGCATTTAATTGAATTTTCCGTTACATTGAATCTCCGGAGATAAACAAGCTGGATTATATTGTATTGGAAGTGCAGGGAATTTATTATGCTTAATGGTGAAATTGAATTTGCAGGGCAAAAATGTCTTTTCGTGGTACGACGGAGAACTTTCGGCGTCCAGCAACTTCATTGGCCGCATAAATCTGCTGGACAATGAGTATGGTCTCGGGAAGGCATCTGTGAATCTCACAGCCTTGCGGGAGTCTGACGGTGGATGGTATCAGTGCAAAGTGATCTTCCCCAATCGGACTCCCAGTACTCGTGGCAACGGCACGTGGTTTCATCTCACCGTTGACGGACGTCACAATCTGCTGAAAGTTCCTCCTATCAATCTAACCGTCATTGAGGGTGACGACGCCTTCTTCCACTGCACACTCAAGCATCCAGACACATCCAGGGTTCAGTGGAGACAGCGAAATGTCCTCATCAGCGATTTACCACATCTCCAGAGTCGCTCTCAAATAATGCCCGATGGAAATCTGCGCATCAGTCCGACAACAATGAGCGATATTGGAGATTACTTCTGTGAGATCACTGATGATCTCAGGAATGAGAAGCAACTCGCCAGGGCGTATCTCAATGTCGAATGTGAGTTCGCGACTTTTATATACCACAAATCTTTTATTCTTGACCATGATTGTCTTGTTTTGCAGATAAAGCCAAAGTAATCTACGCTCCTCCTGAAGTTTATCTGCCATACGGACAGCAGGCCATTCTCGACTGTCACTTCCGTGCCAATCCACCGCTGACGAATCTTCGCTGGGAGAAGGATGGCTTCCTCTTCGATCCCTACAATGTTCAAGTGAGTCCCTTGAGGGAAGCCATTGATGTGCATATAGTAATTTGAAGATTCCTCGCAGGGGGTTTTCTACAAGAGGAACGGAAGTCTCTTCTTCAGCAAAGTCGACGATTCCCATGCTGGAGTTTACCAATGTCAACCATTTAATGCCTTGGGAACGGATGGAAAGAGTCCCTTGATAAACGTTATTGTTCAGCATCCTCCAATTCTGACAGTGAAACCGAAGCCAGTCTACATTCACAAGCTGGGCGACACTGTGGAAATGACGTGCGATGCCAGGGACAGAAAAGGACTTCACAGGCCTATAATTCACTGGACAAGGGTAAGACTTTTTGAGGGCTGATGAAAGAAAACTCAATGATTTGCGATGTTGCAGAAGGATGGCGTTCCTCTGCCCTATGATCGATTCTCCACTGAAGGTGGGAATCTCACCATTGAGAAAATTGTGGAGAGCGACAGAGGAATCTATCAGTGTTCTGTTACAAATGAAGCCGCCACAGTTACAGCAGACACTGAGCTTTTGGTAAGTCGAGAGCAAGATAATGTATGCTTTCTCTCTGATCACCTTCAATTGCCATACAGATCGAGAATGTGGCCCCTCGGCCGCCCTTCAACTTGACCGCCAACAGCACTGATACGAGAATCACCCTCAAGTGGATTCCGGGAAGTAAGACATCTTCACTTTCTCCGCGCCAATTTATTCATTGAGCATTGTGAATCTTTCTCTCTTTCGTCTATTTTCAGGCGTCGCCAGACCCAGTATCACATATATAATTTGGTACCGACTGGCTGAGGTGTGTTGAAGTGTTTCTCAAGTATTTTAAGCATAGACACTGCATGAGTATGTTGAATAATTTCCATACTTCCAGGCTGCAGAGTGGAGAACGCTCAAAGTGCCCTCGAGGAGTACAATGGAGGCCACAGTGACTAATTTGGAGCCAGGCAAGGAGTATGAATTCATGGTTCTCGGACAGGACAACTATGGGGATGGGGTCTTCAGCAAGGCATTCAGATATTTCACGAAACGTGAGTGCTTGATCAGGAATATATATATATTAATATATCTGGCTGATTTGCACTTTCTTCCAGCGCGAGAGTTCAAAGACGCCCAACAATATCGAGATCCTATTCACCAGTTCATACAAATTGGGCCTCCTCGGAATCTGAGCGTAGATCAGACACCGGATGGCAACTACTTGGTAACGTGGGATGCCCCGGAATATGGGAAGGAGATGCTGAGAATCTACGTGGTGCGCTGGTGGCTTGAACCCAGGCACAGCCTCCACGGCACCGCTGAGACACGCAACACGGAGTACCTGGTGAGTCAGCTGGACGAGGATGAGCTGTACATCTTCCAGGTCTTCTCACTCTCCACCTCTGACTACGAGGCGGGAAGCAATGAGTTCGAGATCTACGTGCCGCCGTACAGAAGGATGCGCGCCATCGCGATAGGCACAGCCGCAGGGCTTATGTTCCTTCTCGTGGCCCTTCTGGTCTTTGTCTACATGCGGAGGAAGTGGTTTGGCAGCATTCACAGCAGCATCGAGAAGATTGGTCACTGAGGACACACAGAGAATTGGACAAAAAATCATCAACAATTAATTTCAACTTCTTTCAAATTCTCCTTCGTTGACTCACGTCTTCAACTCTCTTGGTTCTTCACCTCTTTTTTACGTTACCATTGTAAATCATTGTATTGAGAGAATATTCGTGGAGTTTTTGTACCCCCAAATATAAAGTATGAGATGTGAGGTAATTTTGCAGAGGAATAAAGTTCAAAGTCAAGGACTTTTCTACGAACAGTTCTTGAGGCAAATTCAATTTAGCACTTTACATCGGCTTCATTTTCCTAGAATCACTCTGTCGCAGATGTTATATTTTCACTTATTATGGAAGTAACGTTTTAGCGATTATGTGACAATTTTCTTCTCTAATAACTGTCCTAACACGCGATTTCACTTGAGTTCTCTCGTGCGATTTTTTGCGCAATACACCAATTACAGCTGGAATTGAATTTATATGCAAATGATTAGTAAATTGCATAAAGAAAAATTTCTTTTCTCCAACATTTCGTTTTCTGACTACAGCTCTTAATCAGTATCTTGGAATTTTTTGGTAGCAATCAATCTTCGAAAGTGTATCAAGAGATTAGGAAGTTATCTGAAGAAGTTTACGATGCTGCCGTAAGTGGATCAGTAGGTTTGTGGTGAGAAGTGACGTCAAATCTGCCCACACCTTTACAGCATGACTTCATTGAGATGAAAGGAGTCTTTGTGCAGTGGCTCCAAGTGAGAGAAACTACGCTACTCCGTCACTGGCGTCTCAGTGTTCATTGTGTGCACCTTCTGAGAGCGATGTGGCCGCTTTCCAGCCACGGCTCGGCCGCCTGGAGTCCGCGGAAAGCGGCCACATCGGTCGCTGACGGTGAAGGGGTTCCGTGGAGACTTGGCTCGTGACTCGGCGCTTTGTTACAGAGAGTCTTCCCTCCCGTGATTCATGCGCAGACCTCACTCACACAGATGGCATGGCAGTTTGTCGAACTGTGCCACAGCCTGAGTTCACATGCACTCAGCCAGTGCACGAGCACCCAGCATCGCAGTTCCCCGAGAGTCTCAGAGAAGAGCAGTGAACGGTGCGAGTTATTGTTATTACTCTTCTCCTCCATTTCCAATGATTTGGAGTGAATCAGTTGCACAATCCACGGTTTGGATCGCAGCGGCGGAAGCTAAATAAATCCCGAGAGACTGACGAGTAGTGAGGAAAGTAGTGAATCTGTCTAATCTGTGTTTATTTGGCCACAAATCAAAGCCAACAGTCGTAAAAGTGCATCTTCTGCATCCTAGATTCCGAAATCGGTGAGTCTGCCCAGAATTTCCCTTTGTTTGCCAAGTGGTGCACCGCATCAGGCGAGGCAGGAAACTTCTTCAGTTTCCGTGTTGCAGTTTTCTTATATTGATTTTTACCGTCGCCGAGGAACTCAATGAACCCATGCTCCACTTTTCATCCCCACGGCCAGAGCGAGACGGAAAGCTGGTGGAATTTGCATCAGGTGACACAAATTCACCCACCATCAATTAACCCATCAGGAGTTCAACCCTAAACTCAATTTGCGCGCCATCACGTAAATATATTTTGCCATTCCGCCCGCCAAGCCCACCCCAAATTCACATAGCATAATAACAAACACACCCCCACGGCCTAGATGCCAGTTTTCACCTCCTTTCGTCAGCTAAGGTCAAGATGAGACAAAGGTTGACGCGCAAACCTTCTTCGGGACGATGAATAATGCAGAAGGATTAAAAATTCAATTAGTTTCCAGCAATCTTGCGAAGAAAAAACACGTTGATTTCGGGCTGTGATTTTGGCACTTCGAGCAAGTGAATTTTCAATGGAAAGTTCACGAGTCCAATAGGTTGAGGTGGCTGTCGAGTCATTAGAATTGCAAATGGACCACCGAAGTTTTCCATGATTTTCAAACAAAGCCGTGTTAATACATTAAACAGCTTTCTTCTCTGACATGGAAAAACCTGCTGACGATCATTCAAATGAGTCACCTCTCATTGCCCAATGAAATCAATTGATTTTATTTGAATAAAAAATCGGGATCAATTCTAATCGGGACAACGAAGTGTCTTGTACTGATTATTTCCACGCTTTTGCAGCACTCTTATCGTCCCCAAAGGTCTAGGTCTCTGTCTAGATAAGAGTGAAGGTCTTATCTGCCGGAATTTAAATTTGACTGAATTACCATTTTCTAAGCAAATTTGTAAGAGATTTATCTGACATGCCTGTAATGGTTCAGAGAGAGAAAAAATTTACGACGACCAATGTCTGCTCTATTATCTTCTTTTCTTCAGCGCTGTGTTTAATATCTGTTTCTCAATCTCTATCGATTTTCCTTATGATACATATCTTGAGGAAAACACATGTGGTCTCCTTGAAAATTTTCCCTTCATACCCTAATCACCTCAACATATTACTTTTCTCGCTGCGAATGTTTATTTCCACTCGCCTCTTGGGGCGTGCTCCAAATGCTGAGGGAAAATGCTCTCCCCAATGATGCTCTTGCTGAAATTGACAATTTTTCACACACAAATTGACTTTAAGTATTCTGACCCTAATTGCAGTCAGGAAAATTGCTGTGAAAATTGCAATTTTCAGCTCAATCTGACCAGTTATGTTCCACGTGAATGTTTAAGCTTTTTTGTCAAAGTTCTTCTCGACAGATAAAAGAGACACGAGTTGGGCGAGTTGGAATTTGTACGATGAATTAGCATAAATATAATCTGTGTGGGTTTTTCTTACTTCCCTATGTTATTACTCTTGAGATGTGTGAGAAGGGAAAATGGAAGAAAAACTATTGGGCCGACAAAAAGCCAATCTCTGTGGAATTTTTCTATAAGCAAAGGTCAAGGTTTTAGGGTTCCTCGGGTGCACCTTTGTCAAGATTTTCAGTAATAAAAGCTCATTCAATGTTGAAGAGGAAACGGAAGTTTTCTTCACACGTTCTTTTTTCGCCGCGCCTGAATAAAAAGCCCCCTTATTTGCATGCAAAGCACTTTCGCGCACAAGAGACACTCTGATAAGAGAAGAAACTGAAATTGTATGACGCAAGATTCACTGGGGGGCCTTGATGTTGTTCATAAATTGAAAATACAAACAGATTGATTAGGCGGCGTAAAATTGATTTACGATATAATACACAAATGCACAAACATGTGAATATTTTCTCTACTCCAATTTACAAAATTGCAATTGAAAGTTTTCGCGCAACATTTTCCCACTGATAACACTTTGCACGATGTGCTGATGATAAGAAAAAAACATACCGGAAAATAAAAAAAAGTTCCTCCCAAGGCGTGATACAAGTAACAGACCGAATGGTGTCAATACCAGGAATGTTTTAAAACCGCCGAGGAGAGATAAGGGAGTTGTAACGCAATCGTGGAGCTTTTTGCTGGAAGAAAATGATACAGAAAGTCTAATGGATGCTGAGAGGCTCTGGAGAGCATCATATTTCCTCGAGTTCGAGAGTTTGCGTGCACTTGAATGGCCCTCAAAGAGTCTGAGACGACTCCAAAGGCCATAGATGGGAATTTTCTTCGGCATAATCTCCAGTGCTGGAAACCATTGGGGCTTGTCTTTCTCAATCCGACCAGCTGCAAACGTTACAAAGACCTCTCACTTGGTTCTTTGTTCCGATACCATTCAGTGGAAGAGTTGCGCATTTTTGGTAGACAAATAAACCATTGTTGACTGCAAAAGTTATTTACATGTGATATAAGATAGATAAAAATCCTATACATATAATCACAGAGAATAAAAGTATTTATTTAATAATTTTTACACGGCCAATTTGACACCATAATAGCCGACATGATGAAAGTCTGATCACGGAAAATGATAATTTTACGCAAGCTTTCAACAACAACATTTCTGAAAACTTCTCTTCATCAACAAAATCCAAACAAACATTGACTAAAGCTGTCACGTTCAGGGAATGAAAAGAAGTGAATTCTCTTGAGATGCTTTCAAAGTTTACCCAAGACATTCTGTGTAAACAATTAAACATGACGCGTTGCGCATCCCTGAACTCCCTCTTTGTCTCCATGCAAACTGACATAATACCACATCAACAGACTGAGCAATTGTGGCTTTTCTATCAAATCATCTTGAAGCCCGAGCGTGAATTCTCTCCTGCATAATGACTAATATTGTGGCACGTAATTGATTAGGATTGATTCGAATGCGGTGTGACGAATGGCAGCAGAAATGCTGGTGCCTTTATTGCATGTGTCCCACATTCTACACGCCGTGAGTCCATTGATGAACACTTCCGTGTTCCTCGTCGTGTGACGCTCATTGATGACTCTCGGTGCTCCTCTGACGAGAAATAAACTCCGCGGATGGAAACTTCCGAGAGGCCAAATGACAATTGTATGGACCCGAATCTCTCTTCGAGCGAGAAGACTCAGTGCCAAAGACCACCGTTCGCGCCCGTCCGAAATCTCACCAGAAACGCCAGAAGCAGAGAGGAAGTCAGGTTGAATTGGCCCTTGAACTGCCAGAGAATTTCTTTGTGCGCTCTTCCTCATGGAAATGCGATCAGCAATACAATGTAAGGTGTCGAATGATCTATCGCCTGATAAATCGATGTCTTTTGATATTTATAGACAGTTTTTTTTTTTAGGACAAAAGCTTTATCAAAATCCAAGTGGGTTGATAAGACTGAAACGCAAAATATTCACGCATTTTCTGATGAGTTCAAATACCCAGAAATTTGTCGTTTGCAAACGACTCAGCCTTTCCCCAAAAATTTCAATAATTGACAATTTAATGTAAGGAATGTAAGTCAGTGTGGATTTGACTGTAAAGCAGTGAATATGTGAATAAATGCGTCTTCTTAATCACTGAATTGTGTCGTAGAGAATTTAATTAAAGAACTCCGAATATTACATTGTGTAAGTGCCTTTTAAGCACTTGCTGTGTTTTGGTGTTCCAAATGTGCCAATTCCGTGTTATTGTTGGCCGAATTATGCCATATTCCAATGTCAAATAAGAACCGAAACTCACTTGACTCATCATAGTAAATAAGGAATTTGGAAGGTGTTTTGCACCAAATGATGTACTGAACTTAATGCTCAATTAATCGGCAATCGATGGAACTCTGCGCCCTGGTGGAGTGCCTAGTCCCCACCTGAGCGCCTCACCAGCTGACTCGACTGGGCCGGGGCGGAAGTGGAGGCGCCGGGGCTGCTGGCCGGCGCAGACTCGGCAGCGAGCGCTATTGTTCAGCGCCACACTCGCGAGGCCTCGTGGAGTCCGAGAGTCGAGGCCCGGCTGGGGGAGTCGCTCTCAGTTCCCACCAGACAGTCGTTCCTCTGCTCTGGCGCGGCATCGTGTGGCTCTATTCCGCGACGACGCGATCTGCAGATACTGTGGCTGCCGAAGCAGCCTGAAGTGTGTGTGTCCGGAACTCGGAGAAGCGCCTCTTTGCCCAGTTTTGGTGTCATCCAGCTGATTCGTGGAAGCACTCCCAAGGTGTCCCCTGAATGCCACAATCGCCGCGCTGTTTTTGGTGGTCAGTGTGTGAGTGGCATAGCAAAGCAGGATAATATCATCTGCGGTGAAAATTCTCTTCTGCGTTTCGCGACAACGACGTGAGTTTCCAATGCTGACTGCCATGACCTTTGTATTGGCAATATTCAGACCTCACTTTCCGGCATCCGCGATGCGAAAGGCAATTCGCACCCGGATATCCATTGCCCCATATTTTTCATTCTCTCCCACAAATAAATCAATAACATTTTCCATCTCCGCTCATGCAATGAAAAGCCTACGGAATCGCTCTTCCTTGGCCAATCTAAAAACTTTTTATTTTTTTGCAAAATCACACGCTAAATTCCACCGAAAATCTCTCCTTTGTTTGAAAGCGCAACGAGAGTGTCATTGTTTAACAACTTCTCACACCTGTCCAATTTGCGTAACACCTTCTAAATATATAATTACACGAGACAGATGCACTTTCTTCGTCTCTCTGAGTACACGTGCACCCGAGAGATGCTCAATTCAGCTGCCAGTGCTCATCCAATCGGGAGTTTTGTGTACATTAGACAGAGATTTCATATATATTCTGGTGGTTCTATTTAGAGAGTTTCTGAAGCGAAATCAGAATTTTCTCTGTCGAAATAGATTGTAGGGAAAATTCCTCGATTATTTTCTGGAATGACAGACGACTCAGATTCTTTACCTTTCTTCTGATTCCTGTTGACTCACTCAAGTGTTATGTGTAAATATAGAGAGATTTCTGATTCGCTCTCACGTTCAATATTTCATTTTTTTTTGTATTTCCCGGAGAAAAATCTCATTAGACTCGTTTGAGCGGAAAAGATGGAGCTTTTGATAAGAAATATTACCACTTTTCACAAACTGTTGGAACTTCAACAATAAAGTAGAAAGTTCCCTCGAGAACTTTCGCTACGAAACTCCACTAAAAATAGCTTCGCAGAAACTTTCCTATGCAAACTGCATTTTCCTCTGTCGAAGGATTAATTTGAATACAGCAATAATTCATAATTCCCTGGATGGCGAACAATTTACTGGCGAGAATTCTACTGGAAATATCAAAAAGTCAGCAAAATTCATACCTTAAATCTCGGCGCCCGATAAGAATAGAAAAGGCCACTCACTTATTTATATACAGAGAAGAATGTGTCGATAAACAGAAAACAAATACATAAATCTCGAATTGAAATCAAATGAATTTTAGGTGGAGTAATGCAAACTTTTGTGGCGCTTTTCACCTTCGATCAGAGAATAATCTGAGAATTTTTGGGGCACTTTCATGCGATTTTCCACGCTGTTTTCTTTCCTTTCGTGACCTTCGCTGGCGAAGATGATTGCTATTCTGAATTGATGCTTCAACATTCAGCTATAAATAAATCTCTTCTTTTTTTTCGACAGAGAAACACAGAGAGAAAGAGAGACTTTTTCTCGCTCTTGTGAAATTCAATTTTATGGCAAGTGACATGCTATTTGGCCAATTAATGCACTTAAATATGTATGTTTATATTGGATGGCTTGTGATTAATTTGGTGAGTTCCTGCGTGGGAGATCTTGAATTGAACAGAGCGTGATTAATTAGTTGCTTATCGTGAAAAATCAAATAAAATACCACTGAGATTGTGCCAGTGATTGGAGTAGAGACTTTTGTGGCGTTGAGAAGCGAGAATTATAAGCTTCTTAGTGCCGAAATGCGAAGAAGATTAAAGTGAGATCCATTCCTTTTAATCCCATCTCTTAGATTGTCGACGTCTTAGAGAACGTTCTGGAAGACGGATAAATTTTCCCGATTCCTGTAGCTCGATATTCAGCAACTGCGTAGAAGCAAAAGGTCGGTCACAGCAAGAGGATTTGAAACACAAGAAAGTGTGGTTCCTCGCCAACCCATCTTTGGTATTTTTGCTTTTAATGCCACACCATAAACTTTTATTCGAGCAGTGCCTTTCGGGAGGGCGAGAAAAAAAGCGTAAAATTAATAGGATTTCTGGCACAAGACGGGACGCAATATCGTGGGGATGTGGGGACTTTTGTATTTCTCCTCCGTGTCCTTTCCCTCGCCACGATGTGGTGGTTGAGCTGGGGCATGTCTGCCGGCGAGAGATTATGAAGATTAATGGCAGCACTTCATATACAGACTCCCACTATTCGTTATTCCTGCGGATAATTAAGTTCCTCTATGTCTATGCGATATGCAGAAAACACCATCGATTTTTATCTCTCGTCTCTTTCCAGGCACAATCCTGTGAACTCCGCAGAAGCTAAAAAAAACGCCAAATAGTCACCTCAAACATGTGATTTTGGACGCAGACTCTCCGTTCAGTTGTACTTAGTTTGATGTAAAGCTCCAAAGTGTGTTCCCGAGTGAGGAGTTATAGTGAAATTTATATTCTAAAAGCATCAGGCGAGAGACAGAGCGATGGCCGAGGATCAGTCAATTGTGGACAAGGAGGATTCCCGCCCAATCGAAATCATCCCAATGAACTCATCGGCCGGCGCTTCATATCATCCCACACATCATCACAATCATCTTCAGAATCCACCAGGAGGACCGCCGATTCTCGTGGAGAACCTCAAGAATGGCTCCCTCAATAGTTTATGGTGAGTACTCCGGCTGCTGTGCAAGACCGCCTCGAGTGGCCAGTAAAGTGTGTAGTAGTCAAGTAACTAAGGTATCAATGGGACTGATAAGGCGTGATTATCAATGACTGGGGCTCTCTTTTGATGATGGAAGTGGGATTTTCAGTGGGCAATTGGCGGATTTTATGTGATTAATTATCTCTACTTGAGACTCGATAGTCCACCCTCCCACACCCCCTGATTAAAATTCCCGCTGGTGAAACTCTTCTGCGGAAGCCCTTGACAACGATTGAATTTATGGCGCGTGTCTTGGCACTTTTATAGGCCTCTGAATCGGCTGATCAAATTGCCCAGATGTTCACTTTACAATTTTCATGGTCTCCAGTGTCACACTCAATTCACCCAACGAAAGCCTTTCAGCAACAATGACTCCACAACAGCCTCAAGATAATTGCCGATAAAAGCCACTCTCGACTGACCCAGTCATCTGGAAAAGTGCAGCTGAACCTACACGATGTGGAATCAATACTCAATCTCGATCTCTGGGGAAATTAATGCTTTTCTTCAGAGAATCGTTCCGAGATAATTTCTTGTGAAAATTTTCCTATATCACTTTCTGCAATTAGTGCGATATTCATTCACACGATGCCTTGGAAGAAGGCCAATTCTGATGTAATGACAGGAATTCTTTTTTCCCTCAAGACATAAAGGCAAAAACAAGTGAGTTTAAATAAGGTTCTTTAGACGAATTCCAGGAAAATTTTAAAATTCAATTTGAATTATATAATCGCATTACTTAAAATCCTTCTCTGACTTAATATGTCGCTGCAGATGTTCTTATCAATTGTGTCTTCCTTCATGGCAAAAAGTTGTTTGTCCCCATGTGCACAACATAAAACACCGATAATTCACGTATAATTATAAAAATAGCAGCGAAATTTGAGCAAAAAGTAAGACGCTCCATCATATATCATTTCCCCAGTATCTATATTTTACTCTCATTCGAGTGACTTTTTGTCTGGTTTAATTGCGACCTCTCGTACTCGGCGCTTTTTTCCCTGATAAATCCCGCCCCACAGGAAACCCGCGCAAGTTCGTGTCAATTGAGAGGGAATTTGCTTAAATCAAGCCAAGTATCAATATTTGAGGGACGCCACAAATTGAGCATTCAAGTGCATGTGCACCGAGTTCGAGTGCACTTTGCACGTGCTTTTATCGAACAATTGTGCAGCAAAACCTCAATTAATCAATAACATGAGAATGTGTATAATTGAATATCGATGCAGTGGACAATAACATAATTTTATTATTGGAATTGCTGCAGTTCAATGAATGCCTCATTATACGATTTACGATTGAACATTTTCACAATATCCGCTTACATGAGCTTAAAGCTGTGCCAAGCACAAATGTGGCTGCCTTTGAGATATTTATAAGCTTTTTCCGAGGATCGTTACATGATGCTGCTGGCAGTTTCACTCGTGCTTCCAGCGAAAAATCGCGCCACAAGAGCGACAGCTTATGTAACAGTCTGTGGGGTATTTGTGACGTCGGGCATCGCACCACCCAGCCCACCGAGGGTGGCGTCGCATAGTCAATAATTCACACGGGTCACCCGCGGAAGTGAGCTGATGTGCATCGAAGGATGCGCTCCGGGGGCGATTGATTGAATTAGAACAGCCATCAGTGATATGCAAACTGTCTCGGGCCATTGCAGGCAATAAATTATTTAAATTTTACCCGTGACCTGTTGCACTTCTTGGACAGCTTTCTCACGGGGTTAATAAGTCGATCACTCCATTTACATACATATATTATAGGTCAGCATTTTTCCTGAGATCTAGCGAGAATTAATCTTCATCTCGGATTTAAATTTACACTGCAAATGAAATGCGAATTTACGGATTTTAACTTGATGAAGCGAAAGTGGAAAAAGAGGAAAATCAATTTGAAGAATTTGAACTAGAACATTTAATAACTAATATACACATTTTGTTCGCGCCAATTGTGCGCCTCTCGCCCAGCCCCAATTGGTATATGCCAATCAATTCCTATGGCAACTTTAGTGTGGAGTTTGTTGGCTTGTGGGAAGAAGTGGCTCGGCGTTCTTCAGCTTGCCCGAGTGTCAGTCAAGTTTGGCCATTTGTGCGCGACGGACGATAGAATCCCATTGATTTTCCGCGGCACCTTGGAAAACTGCCCTTGCTGAAGATCAGCCGAGTGTGGGTGTTGGAATAGCACAGTATCGATCGGTCGAATGAAATATCAATAGGCCCGATTGACGTGCTAATCATTAGTGATTTTTCCGCTGTTTGGCTCCGTCTAAGCGCCATGAGAAATTGAACTGTGGCCCGGAGGTCAGCCAGAGTGCCTATCATTTGTCGCAATTTGTGAAACACGCCAAAATTGGCTGAATTGTTCCAATTGCCGCTCGATATCAACCGTATTAGTTAAATTTCTGTATCGCGAGTACGCAATAATTGACTAGCATTTGTGCGTGTTGCACATTCAATTGATGATAAATATCCATGAGCAGAGTCTTAACCGCGGCTCTCGTTGGCACGATATAGCATTGCTGAGTTTAGTCTGGAACCGAGAGGTGGTATTTTCGCTTGAGCTCCGAGTCTTCTCACTCTAGAGCAGAAGAGGAGTGATTGCACAATCGCCTGAGTGCATGCGATCGGGCGGAAGGACTCCGAGAAGAGCTCACATATTTGCAAAACCTTCTAGTGGAAGTGCAGCGGCATGGGAAAGCACCGGAACAGCGTGCCTTCGGGCTGTAGCAGCTTGGAGAGTCTCGGTCCGGCTCAGGCCTTCCGGCTCAGCCATTACGACACGATGGTGAACTTCCTCAACAATCACACCACCACGACTTTGGGTGTGCCCTCGAAGGGCGAGTCTTCGGCCTCCCTCCAGCCACCTCAACCCCCAATCTGGGTCAAGCGCTCTATGTACAGCGTGTTAATTAATTAAGTGTGGCCAAGCAGAGTGACTGAGGCTCTCGTTTTTCTTCATTTCAGCGACCAAAATAATCTCTGCAATGGCTCAGTGGTGAACACGCCGGGACACCAACTGGTGAGGAAGGTGCACAACCAGAGTCCCAATGGGCAGAAGAAGCCCATGGTGACGCTGACACACTTGCCCAATAGACCACCTGTCGATATTGAATTCAACGACATCTCTTATTCCGTCTCCGAGGGCCGCAAGCGGGGCTTCAAGACCATCCTCAAGGCGGTCAATGGTGAGCGAACTTATATTGATTTATTATGAAAATTCCTGGTGAATCTCATCTTCTCTGCAACTCACACACAACACACTAAAGATTCCATGGAAACGATTCAGCTTCAGTTGGAGTGTCATCAGCAGAGCTCTGAGTATTTCTGCTGAACTATACGAACATTTAATTGAATGCCAATAAGATTCCCATTGATTGCAATTGCTATTCAGTTGAGAAAATGAGAGCACTGGAAATTTAATTACCAACTTACCTACAAATCCCCTTATTCGGCACTTGTCATTATTGCAAATCCCATTAGAATAGACACTTTCTTTGTTATGGTGACAATGAAGTGGCTCTATATTGGGTCAATTGGAGCGTCTGCTCTGAATGAGGAGGAGGGATCAAATACTAAACTGGGTTCATCAATTGATGTGTTCTCTCTGATTGTTCTTCCAGGAAAGTTCAAGTCTGGCCTCTTGACTGCCATCATGGGGCCCTCGGGTGCCGGCAAGAGCACCCTAATGAACATCTTGGCAGGATACAAGTGAGTAGCTGCAATTGCAAAGTGTGTAAATTCCAGACAATCATTGACACACATTCTGTTTGCAGAACTTCCCACCTAAGCGGAACTGTGATGATAAATGGGAAGGAGAGGAATCTGAGGCGTTTCCGGAAGCTCTCCTGCTACATTATGCAGGACGATCGCCTGCTGCCATACATCACAGTGCGAGAAGCGATGATGATCTCGGCAAATTTGAAGCTGGGCAAAGACATGACAGTGGCCGTAAAGAGGGTGGTCGTGGAGGAAATCATCGAGACTCTGGGCCTAGTTGAGTGCAGCAACACTCTCACGCTGAACTTGTCCGGAGGACAGCGAAAACGCCTGTCGATCGCTCTGGAGCTGGTTAACAATCCTCCCGTGATGTTCTTCGACGAGCCTACAAGTGGCCTGGACAGTTCCACGTGCTTTCAGTTGATATCTTTGCTGAAGAACTTGGCCAGAGGCGGTAGAACCGTGGTCTGCACAATTCATCAGCCCTCGGCGAGGCTCTTCGAGATGTTCGACCATCTGTACATGCTGGCCGAGGGTCAGTGCATCTACAAGGGATCCGTTCGGGGGCTGGTCCCCTTCCTGTCGGATCTCGGATTCGACTGTCCCAGTTACCACAACCCAGCTGACTACGGTAAGCATGAGCACCTTGAATGTAAATCCGATATTAAAATCCACCCCTCGATTGCAGTGATGGAAGTGGCTTGCGGTGATTATGGTGAGTGTCTGCACAAGCTCGTGATGGCCGTGAAAAATGGCAAGTGTGCCAACTACATGACTTCGTCGTCCAACGAAAAGTTAATTGGCAACGGCAGCAATGGCATTGCCAATGACATCTCCAAGCCGCACAACTCCTCAGCCCTCCGCCCCGACGTCCAGGAGACGTCACTGACCAAGTTCCCACCCTCCAAATCCGACTACACCGCCATTTCGATGCCCAGCGAGGAGGGCACCGCCAAGAGCACAGCGCCCACGACTCCGGGCGCCACATGCACCACATCTCTGCTCGACTCGAGCGAGAGCGTCGTGGCGCTGCCCTATAAGGCGGGCTTTCCCACATCCGGCTGGATGCAGTTCTGGATCCTCCTCAAGCGCACCTTCCTCACTATCATGCGCGACCAGCAATTGACGCATATGAGACTGCTTTCGCACGTAATTGTGGGCACTATCATCGGCATGATCTACTACGATATTGGCAATGAGGCATCCAAAGTCATGAGCAACGCGGGATGTGTCTTCTTCACAGGTGACGACAACAATTACTCTCTGATCTAGTCTAGTATTGTGCACTACAACTTGTCGGCCTTTACCTAAGTGTCCCATTTTATCTAAAAGTCCAGACCAAACATTAGTCAACATCATAGCTCAAATATTATTTGTCCAATTTAGCGAATTTAAAGCACTTTAGATGTTCGACAGTGTAATTGACGAAGGCTAAAGCCATTGTCTTCATTAATGCTCATCACAGAATAAGTGTCAGTTTTCCCAATCGCGATGATCTAAATTTTTGATCAAGTACAAAAACACACAGCTAATCCTGTTTCATTTGCCTCTTCCAGTACTCTTCACCATGTTCACAGCAATGATGCCCACTATTCTCACATGTGAGTCTGATTTATACTTTATGAGCGCGCTCATCAATTGACTTAACCGCTAATGCAAACATTTGCTCTGTCCAAATAGTCCCCACTGAGATGGCGGTTTTCGTGCGGGAACACCTCAACTACTGGTACTCACTGAAGGCGTTCTACTTCGCCAAGACCATGGCAGACCTGCCCTTCCAAATACTCTTCTCCAGCGTCTACGTGGGCGTCGTGTACTACCTCACGTCGCAGCCGATGGAATGGACGCGGGTCACGATGTTCGTGCTCATTTGCCTCCTCACATCGCTCGTGGCTCAGAGTCTGGGACTGCTGATGGGCGCCGGTCTGAGCGTGGAGCTGGGAGTGTTCCTCGGGCCCGTGTCCACTATTCCAACAATACTCTTTTCCGGCTTCTTCGTCAACCTGGACACCATTCCCGGCTATCTGCAGTGGGTGACGTACGTCAGCTATGTTCGTTATGGATTTGAAGGTATACAAGAATTTTAATTTACCGCACTTTCCCATCAAATCCACTCCTCTCCAGAGATAGAAATCCTCATTCACGTGAATAATAAATAGATGATTCCAATATGAGAGTCACTCGGAATCACATTTCAAATGGTATTCCCAATGATTGTTGGCGCCGTTAGCTGTTAAGGGGATCTTTATTGCATCCACCCACTGTTTGACCATAAAAGCATCCTCTCGAGAACAATTCCACGCGACTTTCATTACCTCAATAACAATTTCTAACACGTTGTCAAATAAAATGTGTCTCTTTCTACCTCTCGCCGGGGAACAGGTGCTATGATTGCCGTTTACGGAATGGACCGCGAGAAGATGCAGTGCTCAGAGATGTATTGCCACTTCAGGAGCCCGAAGAAATTCCTCGAGGAGATGTCAATGGAGAAGGCAGAGTTCTGGATCGACGCCACGGCGCTCATTGGCATATTCATAGCGCTGCGGATTGTGGCATATTTTGTACTCCGCTGGAAAATACATTCCATCCGCTAAGAATCAATTAATAATCAACAATTTTCTTACAAAAAGTTTAACATGCAGTAAAATTGACTTCTCCGTGGTATACATTGTAGTGTGTAGAATTGTTTACCTATAAATAATCATAGCTGATAAAATATCCTGACGTAGGAGGTAAAATAATCACACAAATATCGCTGCATTGTAGATGACGTGAGAAGGGATTCGGATATTGCTGTCCCTCTTCTCGATAATTACATGTCAAGTTTGTTATGCCGAATGGACTGTCACGAAGGGTGGAATCACATCTTGTTTTGGTCAATATTTTATTAGTGAGAATTCTATATTTATTGGATAACAACTTAAGATTGAATTAGAGAATACGTATATTTTGTACGTCACTACCTTTTGATATTATAATTAGAATTTAGACTTGATGGATTTATTCTGTAAACATGGATAGAGAGACAATGCATTATTTAGCAGATATTATTGACAAAATATTCATACTATCGAATGCATGAATACTGCAGTTTTTGCAATCAATCGTATAAAATATTTAGGGATTGCCCTCAAGTAGTTTGATGGAAATTTTTGTCGCATGAAAGTACGGAGAATCCCAAAGTATATCATGTAGACTTTTATATGTTCATTTTTTGGAAATTGCACAAAAATGCTCCATTGAATATTTCATTCAGTGTAATGAAGCTTTCACAATTTAGTGACAAAATGGAACCTATTGTACTATTAAACAGTGCGATTAAGCAGTCAAAAAATGTATGCAATAGAAGGTGAAAAAAAAGAAGTCAAAGAACAACGGAAAACTTAAGCAAACTTTTTCATTATTGTGATAATTACAGTATTTAGGAGTTTTAACATGAATACAGCTCGAAAAAATGATGCAAATACCAAACGATATAAATAACCTTTTCTTCTTTCCACCAAAAAAATGTACGTTTAGTATAATTGTGTAATTTCCATTTTTTAGATGCTCATTGAACAATCTTACTCAGCCAGAATTACGGATAATTTAAGCAATAGCATAATACTATAAATTTATTGTAAATTTATTTAACTTCACTCACTCCCTTTCCATTACAAAAGGGGTTGAATTTTAGCCAATGAACCTTTTAAATATTCGCTGAGAAAAGGCAAAAACAAAAAAGTTGACGAGGCAAGAATAAAATCAATTTTGTGATAATTAAATAGTGAAATAATAGAGCAGAAGAGGGGAGAAAGTAACAATGGATCTCGATAGCACACACCCTTTTGTTGTCCCCTAAAAACCCAAGTTCACGAGCGAAAATGGAAAATATTCAAATAGTGTGGTGAAAATAGCCCAGAAAGGTTTTCATTTGGTGAAAAAAGATCAATAAATCAAGTGAGTAAATCATGCATTATTGGACTTTGGCAGTTATTCTTTACACTCCCGCCCGGAAACCGCACACTGTTCCACAACTTCCTGTCACGTCAGCAAAAGGCTCCTCATAAAGCATTTATGCTGTGCCCCATTATGAAATAATTGCCTGACGTTCCTACCCTTCTGAGTGTTTTGATAGTTTTGCGAAAGAGATTATTTGTCTGACCTTTTTCGACCACCGACACGCAGTCGAGAAAAGTTTTTTGTGTGTGATTTGGCCAGAAAAACTGGCACAGTGTAAAGTTCATTGGGAAATCGAATAGCGGATTCAGTGGAGTACGCTGTTAAGTACACAATGAAGAAAAGTGTGAAGAGATAGCTGAGATGTTAAGCAATTGACACAGCGTCAGAGGAGAGTAAGTAGCTTCTTTTGCGGAAACTCATGAATGACAAAAGATATCGTGAGATATCTGAAAGAAAACTTAAGGTTCAGTGACTCTTTATCTCTGCAATTAAATAATATTGTTCTTGAAATTACTATATTTACCTAACAAATACCTTTTATCTGAGTTATTCACGACAGAAAAACAATCGTAAGACGCTGAAAAAGCGTGATAAGAAGCAGGAAAAGATTGAATAAAGTATAAAAACAATTATTGATAAGCGTCACCGCGGATCTACTATAAATTAGCTTATCATTTGCAGGAAGACTTTCTAGCCATGAAGTCATTGATATTCGTTATTTACCAACCCCTTGAGAAAAATCACTGTTCAATAGAAGTCTCCTAAACGGGTGTTGTTGTCATCAGAAAATCTTCCGTCTCAACATCATCGCACTTGATGACGAATATTTGCAGAGTTTATTGCAATTTTCTGCTTCTTCAAGTGTACTCAAGATTGTTCGGATATTTTCAGGCCACCAATTGAATAATTCCACCTCCTATTTATACAAATTCTCGTGATTTCCCGTACTTTATGGAATTCTCCGACAGGCACAATCATTGGGATTTTCAGAACGAAACCACTGAGAACTCGACAAATGTTTCTCTTTCTACGTATAAATTGATACTTTCCACCTTCTGTTTAATTATGATTACAGATTTAAAGTGAACAGCCTAATTATCTTTTACCCGAAGGTGAGTTTCATGTAAACTTCCGTATTTTCTCACAATATAAAAACATTGTCATGTTTCACAAAGCAAGCATGAAATACAAATTAAATGTTTGAATTACGCATTCGTTGAAGAGATTCTTTTGATGTCGACATTATGTATCAGTTGTACATATGTTGAACATATCTCTGAGAATATGTGTGTATAAAGTGTGGTTGTAGAATTTCAGTGGAATTCTCTGATTGGAAGGATGAAGTGTTAATTTCTCAACTGAAGATCACATTAAAGCGAAGTGACTTCTAAGCATTTGCATTTACATCATAATTCGATTCTTGTTACAGCTTGTTTTGTCAATTTGAACAATTTGCGATATTTACACTATAAACCAAATTGTGCAAAACTTCTCGGACTTTCGCGAAACTTGTCCATATAAATTCTCAGTGACGAAAATCTACAATTTATCTCTACTCTAAAGCGATTACCCTCGAGTTATGATTTGATTTTCGCACAAAATATACTTAATTATATATATCGCTCGTTGAACCTGTTTCGCGATCACTTTTAATCTCGCTGAAAATAGCGTGATTTTGTGTGAAAAGAGCGAAACAAAATGGTTAATTCAGCAAATTTACCCACACAAAAAAAATATCATCGAGAAAATGCTTCGACATCAAGTCAAAGTCGTTAACAGTGTGTCACAGAGGTTTTGCTGGTCATCAGAAAATATGTGTAAAGATCGCCGAGAGAGAGAGAGGCGCAACAGGCATTTATCAGAGTGTTGAGCAAAATTGCATTCTGCATCACACTTTGCCCCTGTGATCGATAGCGGAGGACGGGTTTACTGGCTCGGCGTGTGCTCAAATAGTCACCAGTTGAAGTAGGTCAAATCAACTTACACAGCGAGCGGCGTACTTCTAGTTTTGCACTCACAGTGGCTTTCTGACTGCGCCGACCATTGCGTCCATGAGAAGAGCTCTCCGCAAGCTTTTGAAGCACGTCCAGCAACCTCTTTCCACGATCACGTACTCAGAGCAACATCGCGCTGATCTCTTGCAAAAGATCTTGATAGTGATCTATGGCTTTTCGCCTGTTCGCGCATTGTCACAGCGATCTTTAGACTCTGGAAAGCGATGTGGACAATTTGCAGTAAATTCCACCACTAGAATTAGACGGCTAATGCGCCTTATCCCCACTTTCTGTGGCCAAGGGGTTGGCAAATGTTGGACGGGAATGCGCTGTACAAGCTTGACAAATATGCCAGTGAATAGACAATAAGACGAGTGAAAAATGGTTAAGTGATTCACGAGAGTTCAAGGAAATTAGATGCTTGGCATTTCCACTGCGCAAGATAAAATCGATTGTTCTTGAAACTTAAAACATAACAGCGATAATAGCCATAAATGAGCGGTCAATGTAAGCTCATCAATATATAATTTTACCTTTTATAAGCAAATAAAAAGAAAATAAAATAAAATATTATAAAAACATACAATGTTGAAATATGGAAATAATAATTCGGAAATATTTAAATTTGACTGTGATGATTTTTAAAAATTACTAGGCAACTTTTGGCCATTTTAACACAAAGAATTCGGTTTGTCAATGGAAAGTGGATGTTTGTATTTTAGTGTTTTCATCTTAGCGATCTTAGCTTTCCACCTCTCGCCTGTCCCTGTGGAAACTGGAAGCGATCGCTTGGCTGTCGCCCATCGTGGCATCCCGCGCTGCACTTGCTCAGAGTTGATCTTAATCCCACATAAGTGCGGATTTAGCTGTGTGTAAGCGAAGCAAGTTTGTGTGAGAAAAGCAGCAATGGCTCTTCAGGCCGCATTCGCATTCGTGTTGCTTCTATTCGTGTCTCAGCGTTCAGTGGAGTCGGATCACTTAGCGAAGCGCACAATTTGAGAGGCTCTCAATCATCTCTTCGCATCTCCCGCGGAGACGTGCCACGTGAAGGTGCAGGCCTTGATTTTCCACCTCAGAGAGAGGTTCGACGAGTGCACTCCAGAGGAACTTCGAGAGGCGATTTGTGCCAAATTCTGGACACCGGCTCACTGGATAGAGTCGAATGATGCAATTGAAACAGTGTGTTTGAGACGTGTTGGAAAAGTGGAGTGGAAATTTTTCAATTGCATAACCTTCTCCAGCAAAGCAGTGAAAATATATACAACATCATCAGAGTCGGAGATTTGGAGTTGATGATCTGCTGAGAGAGACTTAGAATTCTTGTTCTCGAGTGACGATTCATTGAGTGACACCAAAGCATTCCCACCATGGAGAAGGATAGTGCTTGTATTTTAAACAACAACATGTGAGTCTCACTTGCAATATTTACGTTAGTACTTAGTGAAGTTTTGAACAGGAAAAAAAATCGGACCCTCCTCAGCTCAACTTTCCAGACACAAAGTGACTAGAAAAAAGTCAAACAGTGAATTTCTAATGAGGAATTCACAAGATTCTTCCTCGATTGATGTGTGTTGAATTCATTAAGATTCGCTGCTATTTGATTTTTCCGCGCTTTGTTCTTTCTCTCTCGCTCTGATCGAGAAGGAAAAAAAGCTCACACATCCACTGCTTCAGCTTATAGTGATTCGCCTCGACCTGAGATAAACTCTTGGCTCAGCCACTCTTATCGTGTTCAACATTATTAACACACTTTGCAATGCTGCCTCAATGAGTTCACTCATAATTGCCAACAGATCACTATTCAATCTTTGGACTCTCGTTCAAATACTGCTTATTGTACATAAGAAAAACTCTTCTGCCGAAACTTTGGAACTCTTTTCACTCTCTGTCTCACGACGTGAAATCTCACATTTGGAAAGTTCTCTAAAAGGCACTTTTTTTGTCTTCGACACGCATTTAAAACCAGCCTTATAGTGCGCAATTTAATGCGCCGCGGCTCTCGTAAAATGCGTGTTTTGTGCGCAAACCAGCTTCAAATTCAATCAACCTTCCCAAAAAAGAAACCATCTTTATTACCTGTATCACCAATAGTCTTTGTGGCCGAAAAGCAGGGACATTTCAATTAACAGCACCGACTCTTATAAATCCACTGCATTGTCTCTAGATTGCGACCTTCTCCATATCGAGCAACACTGCAAAGGATTCAATATTGATCGCTGTGAATGTCTCACTTCACTGATAAAAGCTCCATCACGGCAAAAGATGCAATTCATTGAATTTTATTTGAATTCAATCGACAAACACTTCAATAAATCCAAGTCATAAATGAAAACATTTATAATCAAATATTGACTCACGATGGAGACGCCGGGTGGGCTCACATGCGAAATTGTGTGATGTTTCATGCAGCATATGCTGCGTGCTGAGTGTGATTTAAATTTCCAGAATTCTTCACCAGGTTTCTCGTGATTTTCAAAGGATAGTTAAAGAAATGACATCATTATACATCAACTGAGCGGAAAAAATCCACTTTGACCAGATATTTTCAATGGAGTTAGCGGTAATGTCATAATCTCTGCTAATGCTGTTAAATTGCATTAAGCACGGCAGAATTGAAGTTATTTTACGTGGAAACTCTGTAGTAAAATATTATATTTGTATTATATTCGCCCTGTGAATGGTTTTTCACTATGACTACTTCTAACAATATTGCAGAACGAGTTATAGGTTACTTGCACGCACGTGGAAAATCATTTTTACGCAACTAATCGGAAATTCCATGTAATTAAGCACCGCTAGTCTTAGCGCGACGTCAAGAAAATCATCAGGTTGAGCGTCTGAGAATGCTTTGATGTCAAGGCTGATTGTGCATTATCGTACAACCTCTTCAAAGAGACCCTTTGGTCAGTTTAATCTGTGAGATAAAACTCGATGCGGAGAATATTTCAAGTTGCTTATAACAAAGTTGTATATTTCATTACAAATGGAATACCTTGAATTGTGTTGAGAATTAAAACTAATTGCACTTGGAGGCGATTTTAATTGGTTATCGAAGTACGAGCAATTCAAATTGCAGTGCTTTCCCCACACAGTGTGCATCAGAATTCCCTGAGAAAAATTCTCAACGTGGTAAAACCGTAGAGAAATGTTATGCAAGACATCTACGAATTTCGTGTGTCATTGTGCAAATCGGTTACAGCAAGAGGAAGCCACTCAGGCGAGAACGCAGTTGAGCGGAAAGTCCTTCAAATAATTCATCACACTCTTTTTTTCGCAGAAAAATGCGCTTCTCTCTTTCAATTTTCGTAAGGTTACATTTATTGACAGGGGTTAGTATTTTCAAAAAGTTTTCCAGATAAGACGCGATAGAATTCTCTCAAATTTTGCTCACAATGTTCGAAAAATCTGTGCGGAAACGTGAGGTCACAATATCTACTGATACCGATCGACCTTTGGAGCTTTTTGTTACGATTGATGGTGTTTTTCAGGCTTAGAAATCGATGAACACACATTCCTTTCGCATCTCCAAAGTGTGGCCAGAGACTCACTTTTCCGCGAGCGAGAGGCTTATCAATCAAAGTTAAATCTCCAGAAGCCCAGAGCGCACACAGAAACAGCGGCGCACTTCCACACAAGCGCTCCATGTGACTTATTTATAAGCGAAACAGCTGCGGTGGAAGTAATACAGAAAAGCGCCCCAATGAAGCGTTTGCCGCGGCTTCTCGCAACGACACTGTGAGGTTTCGAGTGACACATTTTCTGGGCGGAAAGTTACCATTCTCAGCAGATATTTTTCGGGGGTAAATGGCCAATCGATCGCCTGCACGCTGAGGTCAACGAATGAATTTCCACCGCATTCTCATCGATTGCCATCCTGGCTTTTCCCAAAGTCCCGCGATGCGTTTCCAGGCGCTCCGCCAGTCGTACAGCAGCGCACACAAGATTGTGGACAGGCCGGTTCGCCGCGAACCATCTGATTGGCGTGAAAGTGATTGTTTCGCCGTGAACTTGAAATTTACTGACCTCATAAATTGACTTCGCGCTGAACCTGTAACGAGAGAGATCTTATTGCAGGAGCGCTTCAAAATGAAATGCGGAACTGCGATCATATGTTCGAACAGTGCGATCATTTATTTTACGAAACACACGAATCTGTACGCAAATCATTGACCCTTCACTCTCAAGATTGGCGTTTTTCGTGAGCTCTGCTATGAGACTTTTACTTAGCGCACTGAGTGTTGAGAGATTGATTAATCGTAAATTATCTAGGTTGCTTTTCCTTCCGATTTTTTAACCTTTCATGTCCAACTTTTTGCAACTATTCAGTTCTTTTTTCTTGAGCGAAATCGACGGTAAATCGAAAACTATGAAATGTCGATTTTTTTTAAATATATTTGCGACTTATTTATTTTTAAAAAGTTCATTATCTGTTCTACTACTTAAGAAAATAAGGTAATAGTAAGAAAGCGGATTTATCCATATAACTCAGTGGTAAAAATTTTACGACTTACATTTTTTCTAAGAAAATTGTTTTAAATTGTAGTCAAAACGCCTGTTTGATGAGTACACCTTTAGATTTTCTGAATTCGGATGAATTGTTCAGAAGTTCTGAATAAATAAAATATTTGTCATATCTTTTATCTTTTTAACTTCAAAACTTTGAAGAAAAATTCATATAAAGTATGAAAAGTTGATTTTTTAGACATTTATTTGGATAAAATGTTCTCAAAGACTTGTAAAAATCGTCCGAGAAAATCGTTGAGAAATGTCAATTTTGGCTTTTCATCGTTTTCGAATCACCCGTCGGAATAGTAACAGCAAGATATTTATCTCATCTGCTTTCAGAGCTCATAATTGACTTTCATGAGACTTCATTGACCCTTCTCTGTCAATTAGTATTCTAATGATTCTAATGCACTTCAAGCACATCAGCATTGACCCACCCCCGTTCCAGCCTCCATTGGAGCCTCGATAAGAGCAGAGATATAACTCAGAGCGCGGCGTTCTTGGCTGAATGTGGTTGTCCATTGAATTGTGGCCGCGAGTGTGGTTCTTCAGTCGCGCTATTCTTTGTTGGCCGCGTGCATGTGTGAATAAGCATAATGTAGTATAAAATTAATTCTCAATCACCACACATGGATGGCAAGTGAGTGAGTGGTGGTGAGTTGAGGAAAAACACTTGGCATTGTGTTTGTCACCATTATTCCTCGGAGTAGTGTCGGGCAAGTAGCCAGTTGAACTCGAGAAGTAGCGACAGTGTTGACTTTGGATACTTCATTCTCATTTTCAATCCCATTTCCCCAGTGTTAGTTGTGTTTTGGCAGCAGTTGGACACGGAAGGCTGCCTCGCTTGTATTTTATTCCTTTCTCAAACGCTCCTCTTCTGTCTGATTTCGGGCTTTGTCCGTCTCTGAGTTTCGCTGTACTGACTGAGTGCCCCTTATCGCTGTGTCTTATCGGGTATCGAGAGCCTGTGTCTCAAAAGCTGAACTGCGGGGGAATTTTGAAGACAGGGAATTTCACTTCATTAGACACTTGTGAGCTCAGTGGAGTGGACGCTTATTAGAGTGGTGGCGTGGAAGCCCTGCTGCTCAGAAGAGAACTCAGATATAGTCAATTGAGGAAGAACAGTGTCCGGGAGTGAAGCAGGATGGCCGAAGACGACGTGATTTCGAATAATCTACTCCCTGATTCCGACAGGAAAAGCGGCGCCGTGAAGCTGCAGATTGTCCCGAGTCAGCCAAAGACTCTGTCTCATCTGCCGCATCGGCCAGCCGTGGATTTGGCCTTCGAGAACCTCACCTATCGTGTTAAGGAGGGCAGAAAGAGCAGTAAGTGCCACTTTCCATCATTACCACATCATTACCACTCAGCACAAAATAATCCATCCATAGAAAAAAAGAGCGCGTACCGCAAAGAAATCGAAAACGACGATTGTGGAACAAAGAAATCATTCCCTATCTAATTTTTGCACTGTGCACATTAACTGCAAAGATTACCATTATCTCTGAGCTGTACAGCACTTTAAATGCTAAGTGTCTATGGGGGGAATGTTGTACTTGTGTGCAAACATTACCTTGAAAAGACGCAGCAAAACAGCAACTAAGTTACTAAGCATAGTAACAATTAAAGGCAAAAACTGCCTCTCCTGCTCAGTCTCTCAAATATCAGCATGTTTTTATTACATTGTGTTTTTAGACCTGTTTCCCGCCAATAAAATATTTCGTGATGGATTTCGTGGGCACAGAAAAAAACACCTTAAATTTCGTTGTTATCGAAAAAACCCTACTCATAAAGCTCTTTTTCTCGCCACGATAATCTGAGAAAACAAGGTGGTTTGACTGTTGTTTATATGTTTCTGACAGAAAAAACTGCAAGCATGCATAATTGAGAGCGATGTGACGTCATTTGATAGTTACTTTGACTTCAACAACTATGAATTGTAAATGCAAACATGCCCTCAAAACACTTTGCCTGACAGCGACATCATTTTAACCACCTTTATTCGAGTTTGACGAAGAAATAGAGAGAGAAAATGTGGTGGAAAAAGCTTCAAAATAACACATATAATTTTTTTTCTGCGGTTTGAATAGTGGGCAAAAAGAAGCTCTCAAGACATGCAATCATTTGCTATTGCTCAAGAATATTTGCCGTTTCTTTGCCACATTCGCCGATTAATTTTTTGCACAATAACTTTCCTGAATTTTGAGCGCTATTTGCGGATGGTTTTTGTGCGATCACGTCTGCCAAGTTTCGCGAGATGATCACTCATAAGGAAGTGAGCAAAAAGAGACCCAAAACCGGAAAGATTTACCAGTGAAGACATTGAAGACAAACAAGAAGAGGTAATTTCTTGGATCACAAAATATCATATAGTCAATGTCACCGAGAAATTGCAGAATTCCCTGTGAAGAATATATTGTTCAACATCTTTCTTATCGTGTTTTTCGTTCGGGGGGCCTGAAAGAGAAATAAAAACCTGACCTGAAAATCGAATTGAATGTCTAAACTGGAATTTGCTTAGCGTGAATGGAAAAATAGGTACTTGCTGTTGTGAGTGTCGCTTTATTTCCTCACCGCGAGTGATTATGAGGAATTATTCGTTAATTTCCGCAAGTGTTGTCGAGAAGGAAGCACGGCCAGCATGGCGAGATTGAGGCACAAAACAAGGGTACAATATTGCTCACGGGAATATGTGTAAAGAGCATAATGCTAACGAGAGTACTTGGGAATTAATTGGGAAAGTGGCTCATCGAGCAACATTAGGCTAATCCAATTGCACAATCCACGTTGGTGAGAATGACCACAGCCGTGAGTACAGATGCTCTCTATCAAATGTTTATGACACAAAGTAAAATATTGAATCAAGATGCTATTAAATGTAATTCACACTCGTTAAATGGTACAAAAATATCCCATGAGACATTGAGCGTCTTTCTTTGCGCACGGAAAACAAAGAGAGTGATTGAGCACACCAAGATCAACACCGATCGTGGCTTGATCATGTCAATGATCTTCGTTCTCCAGCTTCACTCTCTCAAAATCGAAGAAATTCTCTGTAGAGCCCGAACAGTGAGTGGTGCAAACATTAGTTGCATGCGTCGAGTGTCTCATCAACAAGTCATTATCTCGTGCTAGGAAAAAGTCTGCATATCGCGGGCAAAGTTCACACTCAGCAAATACTGTGTATTATTTTTAAATGATTCCTCGTATTTATACAGAATACAGCCACGTATTTTCATTGCTATTTCATGACTTTTCCATGAATTCTTCGCGAGTGATGCCAAAGCAATAAATCATTTGACATGATTCGATCCAACTGTTACAGAATTATGTATATAGGTGTACATAATAACACCCAGAATATCACGGCAATGTTTTTAGGTCCGCGGAAATGTTCCACCAAAAATTAACCATAGATTTTCTCTTATCGGGAGCTCAATAAAAAATTGCTATCAGCCTTTTTTTCTGCCACAATTCCGTGCAAACGAAGATCTCGCAATCGTATAGTAATTATAAGGTAGGGTTTCCTTGCTGTGCCGCTCTGAAAAAATCACTAATTGCAACCTTTTCTTTCGTGTAAATAATTAAACATGACTATCACAGTTGTGTGAATAAGTGTGACTGCGTGTCCATTGGCGTTTGCATGTCAAGGGAGACGAACACCTCGCTGTATATTTAGTCATTTAGACGGCAAACTGCATCTCCTCTGTCTCATAAAATCATAAAGTATGCAAAATATGATTGATGGTTGTTTGCTTTCACGTGTTGCAGATGCCAAAGTCATCCTCAAGGAGGTCAGCGGAAGGCTGCGCTCGAAGGAGCTCACAGCCATCATGGGTCCGTCCGGTGCTGGCAAAAGCACGCTGCTCAACATTCTCTCCGGCTACAAGTGAGTTGAATGCGTCCTTGCGTGCAACACGCTGTCCATCCTGCCGGAGATCCCAGAGCGGATTACTCATTACTGCGTGAACGCGGAAAAATGCTGAAAATCCCACCATTCGAGCTTCGAAGCTCTATTTCCCACAATTATATGCCTTTTGCCACATGTTTGCGCGCTTCGCAGTCCAAGTTTCAGCTGTAAATCGTTTGTCCTTCAAATTGCGGCATTAGAAATCAAATCTAGTAAATTTAGTGAAACATTTCAATCATCTTTCCAAAGGCGTTGATGAGGTTTTTTTTGCCAAACGCTCGATTAGGAGTTTACCTTGTTCTTTGACGAGAGGCACGTCGATAACCAGTGGGATTTCTTATCACGCCGTCTCGCATTGTCACGCAGGATTTTATCGCCTTAACCGCACTGCTCGTGTGTTTCTCTGGGCACAATAACCATGCCCACACTGCTTATCTACATTGACTAACTCCAGTCCGCTTCGAAACAAAGAACTTGAGCCCGTAACGTCACGCATCCGATAGTACTTGATGAACTTTGATCGCACGGCAATTGTGTCGTCGATGAGCATTGACTTTCGCCCCCATGAATCAATTCATTGTGAATTGCAGAACCACAAATATCGAGGGATTAATCACGATGAATGGGAAGGAGCGCAACCTGAGCCTGTTCAGGAAGTTCTCAGCCTACATCATGCAGGATAATCAGCTTCATGCCAACCTGACGGTGGAAGAGGCCATGACAGTGGCCGCGAACTTGAAACTCAGTTCCAAGAAGTCCAAAACGGAGAAGAGCCTTGTGGTGAGTGCGAAATTGGCTGAGCCAAACCTATAGCATTGAGTTAATTGATGAGATTGTCATGGAAATGAACACACGCGAAGCTCAGAAAGTCTTTTTTTTACTCACAAATTGAGAGGTGTTTCTTTCTGAGAAGTCGTTATTTATCAGATGTGATTCTTAAGTTTAATAAAATTAAGTGAAATTTGGCGTTTTTTGTACGATCTCTTCGTGAATAAAGTCCAGTGACGCAAATGCAATATTGAAAAGAAGAATTTGTCAACATATAAACTGGTTTATAAACTCACAACAAGTGAGATTAATGTGTCTGAAATATTATGAGATCGTTTCATAAATACATTCCACGATTCGTCACTTTTGAAATGCAATAACAAATTCGAAGATCCGTCTTAAGTTCACTCGAGAACAGTCAATATTTGTATATTCTGTGTGAGTAATATGACTAAGAATTGTTTTTTTCTCTCTCTGTAGATACGCGAAATTCTGGACACTTTGGGTCTGCAAGATCATCGCAGCACGTTGACGAGGAATTTGTCTGGTGGGCAGAAGAAGCGCCTGTCGATCGCCCTGGAGTTGGTCAACAATCCGCCCGTGATGTTCTTCGACGAGCCCACCAGCGGTCTGGACAGCTCCACGTGCTTCCAATGCATAAATCTGCTGAAGATGCTGGCCCGAGGCGGTCGAACGATCATTTGCACGATCCACCAGCCCTCGGCCAGGCTCTTCGAGATGTTCGATCAGCTGTACACGCTGGCTGATGGACAGTGCGTCTATCAGGGCAGCACGAAGCAACTGGTGCCGTTCCTGAGCACACTCGGTCTCGAGTGCCCGAGCTACCACAATCCGGCCAGCTACGTGATTGAGGTGTCGTGCGGAGAGCACGGAGATCACACCAGGAAATTGGTGAATGGCATCATGAATGGGAAGAGGGACATCCGGACGGAGCTGGATTTCATGGATAAGAAGAATGACGCCTCGAGTGCACTTGCAAAGGTGCACAATAAGGTGATGGACAAGAATGACTTGCAGAATGTCGGTGAGAAATTCGCAGAGAATCTCAATGCGAATGGCAATGGCGTGATAAAGGCAACGATCAACAATGACATCGCCAAAGAAAACACCACCGTATCCATTCCCATTGATATGGACAAGGAATTGGATGTGAACTCGGCTCTGCTGCCCGATGAGATGCTGGAAGGCACGGAGAAGCCCGCCAGGTACGCCACGACCATGTTCCACCAGTTCTGGGTGGTGCTGAAGCGAACGCTGCTCTTCAGTCGGCGCGATTGGACACTGATGTATCTGCGATTGTTCGCCCACGTGATGGTGGGCTTCCTGATCGGTGCTCTCTATTACGATATTGGCAATGACGGCGCCAAGGTGCTCAGCAACCTGGGTTTCCTCTTCTTCAACATGCTCTTCCTCATGTACACCTCAATGACCATCACCATTCTATCATGTAAGATCTCAGACTTCTCGCAATCCTCCCGCCGGATCTTACCTTATCTCCCTCTTTCGCAGTCCCACTGGAGATGCCTGTGCTGCTCAAGGAGAACTTCAATCGCTGGTACTCGCTGCGATCATACTACATGGCCATCACCATCTCAGACATACCATTCCAGGTACAGTGAATCATTTAACTCAAATATTTGCCCACTTCGGTCTGCCAAGTCCAAATTGCCGGTGAAATGATCAATATTAGCTCAGGTGATGCGCTCGAGCACAAGCATCTCCTTGACTTCTGCCCTCAGCAATCGCGATCGTGAGATCACTGCGACTCAGTGTGGAAATTATCGACATAGAGTCCAGTTTGCGTATGGAACAATGAGGAAGTTGCGCGAGAACAGAAGCTAAAGGTCATGGAGATGGGCTTTATGGGTTTTTAATACATCACAAACATCGCCTTTTGCGCGCCCTGATAAATCTCAATGATTCCTTTATCTCATAACACTTCTTTTACGACCTTCTTGGCACATTTCTCTCCATCTATTTTCCGTACATTTTGTGGACTTTCGCGGGCAATGGTGATAAGGAAGTTTAAAGACATATTTGTCGAGATTTGTTGTCTATTGAAGATCTCACTATTTTCTTTCATTTCCAGGCTATTTTCTGCGTAATTTATGTCGCCATCGTGTACTACTTCACCTCGCAGCCGTTCGAGATGTTCAGATTCTCCATGTTCCTCACCTCGTGCCTCCTAATCTCCTTCGTGGCGCAGAGCGTGGGTCTCGTGGTGGGAGCAGCGATGAATGTCCAGAATGGCGTGTTCCTGGCTCCGGTGATGTCCGTGCCGTTCCTCCTCTTCTCCGGCTTCTTCGTCAGCTTCGACGCTATTCCGGTGTACCTGCGCTGGATCACGTATCTGTCCTACATCCGCTACGGCTTCGAGGGCACCGCGCTGGCCACGTACGGATACGATCGCGAGAAGCTCAAGTGCCACCAGACGTACTGCCACTTCAAGTCGCCCACGACGACCCTCGAGGAGCTGGACATGCTGAATGCCAACTTCACGCTGGACATTGTGGCGCTGGTGGTGATCTTCGTCGTACTCAGGGTGGCTGCCTTCCTCTTCCTGCGATGGAAGCTGCGAACGGCACGATAAATGCTCAATTCTCTCTTGCAAAAGTGGCAATTCAATTCGAGCTGTGCGCCCGAAGCAAATCAGGTTCACGTTAAATCACCTTTAACTACTCTTTTTACCACAGAAGACGCAATTGTTAGAATTTTAAGTACTTATTTAAGGAGCAAAGACACATTTACACTCTTTTGCAATGGATGTTTCCACGAGCGACGAGCGAGTGTTTGGAATTTTTCGATGACACAGGACAATGCTAGTGGTACAAAGTAGAGAATTTTAAAGTTAATAAATGAAATCAAATCGATAAAATTGAATTGAAGGGCTGTGATCATATTCAACAGTGTGCGATTCTTTGTTAAAAATCTATCAAGAGGAACTTCATGACTTGCCAACCAGAGAGGTGTGTTAATTCGATAAAAAAGCTATTCTTCAAAGTGGCAAAAGGGCTTTACTCTTAAGGATTCTTCTTTATTGTGAAATAAAAAATATACATATATTCGAGGTGAGAATTTCCTTTAACATACGTGGAATGATTGAAATTTACAAGTGTGACGTTTTTTGATCAAGGAAAACATTGCACAATTACTAATTTATGATAAACAATTTATGTTAGAGGGGCCAATTTTTTTGTTATATTTTAGTCACACTACAATTTTTTTTTGTATTTTTACTACAATACGTGGAAGAATGTGTGAGGAGGATGATGACAAAATCCGGATTAATAAAAACATTTAGAAAAAAATCACATCAGAATTTTTACTATCTGAAAAAAACAATAACTCTCGATCGATATAATTAGACAATTTCTATGAGAATTGCACCATCGATAGATAATGTTGACGTGGCGATGAATTGGAATTACAAAATTCATCTGGCTTTTAGCATAATTTCGTGTGCATGATACGATCGAAAGCACCGAATAAATTGTCCCGGAAGCGCGACTGCGGTTTGTTTGTAAATGAGTCCCAATGGATTTAGAGGGAGAATATAAAAAATGAAATGATTGCGCATCTGCGATAGGTGACACACTGAATACGTGCGCTAATGGTTCAAGGTTAGTGTGGAAAATGGCTTTTAATAAATATTATTTTTACAATAAACCCCCTCCGAGTGAACTGTGCAACACCAAATTGATTACAAACTGATTACTCGCTCTGACGTGATTGATTTCTTTCTGCTGGAAAATCACATGTCAATTGATACATTTTCTCTATTTTTCCTTCACTCCCATTCCATAGACTTTTTTTTCCTTTCTCATCATGTTTCCCATCGGGAATTAAGTGCAGCGCATTCTAGAGTGATAAATATGCAATGAGTCGTACTAAATAAATAGCGCTGCTCCTTAAATTGGCTCTTCAATTGAAGAAATACGCAGAGTTCGCATTGTTCACATGTTTATCCTTCGATAAATCCTTTTAATTGCTAGCATTTCACCTGCAATTATCATTGGCAATGATTAAAATATAAATAATGGTAATTTATGATTGGGAGTGGGAAATCGCATTTACATTTTTATCGTATATATGTTGTTCGTCAGTGTGTCAAATACAGAGAAAATGGCTCTAAAGGAAATTGATATTAATGAAAATATTATCCTCATCGTGAGAATGGGTCATTAGCGATCGATATTGCGTGCGTATTTATACAGGTTTTCTAATCTATTATCTAAATGTGATAAACTCGTCAAAAATGTCAATTATCCTGAAAGCTTTCCGTTTTAAGCGTCTAGACAAACACATTCTATCTATAATATTCAATTCAATTGTTCTTAAATTTCCCAGGAATGTTTTTCCGTTTGCTGATGCCCTAAAAGTATACATAAACTATGACTTGAAAGGTTTCTTAGTGAACTAAAAATCTGGGTTGAGTAACACATAATGCCTGATTTCCATTTCAGAACACATCTTTGTTTTATGGAACATCTTTAGAGGTTGAAGTTCACAAACATCTTTTATCACTCGAGAGGAATCTCTGAATGTGAGCGAATGAAAATTCTAATTAAATTTACGAAGCAATTTGCTACAGGAGGAAAATTCGTCGTCACTGCAGATGACGTTGGAATTTGTGTTACTTAAGGTTATGATGGTATTTTCTCTCTTCTCACGTCTCTTTGGGTGAATCATCGACAGGTGTTTTGTCCTCTTGATCCCGGATTTGATATTATTCACAAGTTCTGGACAAATGTGACATCGAGAATCAATTAATCGCCAGCATTAATTCAGCAACATGTGTTGAGCTGCAATCAGAGTTCAAAGGCAATCGCAGATTTCTGGGAAACTTCATGTTGCAATTAATTAAAGTATTTTATACAGATGACTATTACATCTGAAATTATTTCCTAATACTTTAAATTGAATTTTCTAATTGTGCGAATTAAAATCAATTTGTTACCATCGTTAAAATAATTACTTCAGAGAAATGTTAATTTTGCGTAACTCTTACAATGTTTAATACATTTGTTTTCACCTCTTAACTTCTCTTCATAACAAGTCATATGAGATATTGAGTTAGAGCTGAGGTAAGTGATTCAAAAGAAGGTGAATTCAATCGAAAGTGTACCTCAAGTACATCATTAGTATTCTTATCATTCGCCACGCGACTGTATGATTGAAGATGCTTCAAATGTGACGCCAGTGAAATGACAAAGAAAAAAAAGATGCTTTTGTCCATGAGTGATGAATCAGAATCTTCTACATAAATTCTCACGCAGATGCCACTATTGTAAGTGCCGGTACTCTGCCCTGATCGTCACAGCAGAACATCGCGCTGGTCGTGATTTTGTTCAATGTCTCATGTTTGTTTTCGCCTCGGGGCGCAATAAATGAAGAATTACCACTGAAGTCACACAATTTTTGCATTTTCACGTGTAATTGCGAAAAATCGTTACTTCCTATTGAATGTGAAATGTGTGGGAAGAATTTCTCAGTGGCGAATCATAGTGAAAAATCGCCCATTTTTCTCACGTGTCGCGGATGAGACGTGAGAAAAATTGCACACAGAGTTTTCCTGCCCATATTGATTACATTTTAATACAAATTTAATTGGTCTATTGATCACACTCGCCCAGCCAAGTGGAAAGCCACACGATAAGATGGTGCTGAAGGAGTTGCAGCCCTGATGGAATTCCTCCGTGGGTGCCGACAGAGGTGATTACTTGATCGATTTGTTTGATTTGGTCGTGCAACAACACTTCGCGAGGCTCTGGCAAGCACAGCGCCTCACACGCGACGCCGCGGCAGAATTTCTTCACATGCCACTATATACATTCTCTCCTCTGTGCTTGAGGTTCAGTCGGTTGTATAAACGGACGTCGCGTTTCCCAATGAAATGGAATTGAAGTGGAAGGTGAATGCCCTCCTCGCGAGCTCATGCTCAGAACATCGCGATGCATCTTCAAGTGCAGCAGAACCTCAGCGAGTGTGGCCACAGTAAATTCTATTTCTCAGTGCAATTTCACTCAATTGACGCTTCTTTGTGTCGAGGGTGCTTTTGCTTCCAGAAAGGTCAGCGCGAGTGGAGGAAAATTGACCGAATGATGCAACATTATACTTTTCGCTCTGGCAGAAAATATCGAAATCGTGGTCAATGTATCAAAGTTCACTCCTCGTAAATGTAATTTTTGCTCAATAAAATTCTTAATGACACCATAATCGTAAAAATTATCCTATTTACTCCGCAAAAGCGGGATTAACTGCATTTTATTTCAGTCTATTTTCTGTTTATATTGATCTCTTAATTCATGAAACATCCATGAACCCTTTGCACTCCACAACAGCGTCAGTGGTCAGGGTGATTTTCCACACAGAACAAACTTCGCCCCCCGAAATCATTCTCACCCCCGAAACACCGCGTGTCAATAGAGAGATTTCTGCTTTAGCATCGCCTATCACCTCATGCTGTAAATTTGCATTATTCATCAGTTCTGCAAATCTCGCCTTCTTTGTACAATCTGCGCTTGACAAACATCTGTCAACCCCCAGTTTGAAAAACACTGATAAGGCAAATTTATGTCAACGCAGAAGATTGGCCTGAGTGAATACAATCATCTCGCGTATGACTTATGTAGCAATCTCCGGCGGAGCGGAAAAAATCATTGAATTCCAACAAAACATCCAGTGATAAGGAATCGCAAATGTTTTGTGGACTTTCATCCGCTAAAAATGGTGATAGAGTCCACATTTTTCCGCAAAAAGGTCTCCTCTTCGCAACTCTATAATTCTCCCTTCTATTACTCAACACGATAATGCCATGGAGTAGTTGAGAATACTTTATCACTTATTCAAGCCCCTCTTCAAAACAAAACTGAACAAACAATTGGAAAAAAATCAGCTTGATTCATTTATAAGTTTGCCTTAATGAAAATGTTGTGAGTGTTTGTGATACACTAACAAAAACTGACGAGAAATTGATACTAAAATTTACATTATTTATCAATAAATGATATAATGCACGAAGCAGAGTGACAACTGTTGAAGGCGGAGATGTCATGTGGCTTTGCAAAGCCCATCAAAATTACTATTCGGCATGTAAATCGAAAATTATAAAAAAAAACGAAATCCCAATTTTTAAAAAAGTTTTAGAGCAATTTTGGAAAATTAATTATTTTATAAAGGTCTCATTTGTTATTTTTGGTATTTTTTGGATTTATAGACAGAAATATATCAAAGTTAGTAAAAAAAACAGTAAATAATAGTTCTCAAAGTCGATTTATAATAGTCTTTGAGTACTTTTTATCCAAATAAGTTAAAAAGAAATCAATTTTTCATACCTTTCAGAAACTTTTCTTCATACTTTTGAAGAAAAAAAATCAAAAGAATTATTAGAAACGGTTAATAGTCGAATTGACGCTGCAATGCATGAAAATATTTTTGAATTTGCCCCGTAAAATACAGAGCATAAATTTGAAAAATAATATAAAAAATCAACTTTTCACAATTTTCGATTCACCCTTCGAAAATTTATGCATTGATCTTTCAGAAACAGGATGTTTCAAGTATGAAAGAACAAATCGAGGAGAGTATTTGAAAAGTATAAGAAGTTTCTATTATACAACTGAAGCTATTTAAAGATTTGTTTTTAAGCCATCATTTCTGAGCTAAGCTCAGCGCTGATTATCTCTTATCACGATCGTAGTAAAAATGCTCATCTGGCACTTTTCAGTGTACTCTTGGCTACCAACGAAAGGCAATACTCTCGCTGTGATAAACCGTGACTGTATTGCGAGGAGTGTAGCCGCGATATTGTTGTTTTCTCGGCGAACATTGTTGTGGGGCTGCCGTTTCTCTGCCTTGTGTCCGACTCTTGCGAGTTCAGTGTTGCTCTAGAGCGCGGCAGGAACGCATCGGGACCCAGATACTCTCCAACACACAGCACAGAAATAGAACGCCTCTATTGCGCTTCCCAAACTTCCTCAGCCACCAAGTTCTAGCCTCCAGTGCTGCGAATGGGAAGCACCGGTGAAAGCCCGTGAAGCAAGTCAGTGTGCGGTTGAGTTAGTGGAGAAATTCGAGTGGACAGACTTGGGGGAGTGCTTCGGAGTTCCATGTGATTAGATCAATTAAAAATGTAAGCTGTGTCTCTGCGGCAACCCAATTTGAGTTCTATTTCTCGACTCTCTTGGAGACGATTCAATTGGCAGATGGGCAGGGCCTCATTTCCGCTTGCTCGAATATGAGAAATCTCCGTCTTCATGGCATAAATATTTATACAGCCAGCCAACATCTCTCTAAGCTAATTTCATATTCACACAAACACTCTCTTTTCGGGAAATTTCTCGTGTCTCTCGCGTCTCTGCTCTTTTCCCCAAATATGACACACTTCTTGTCAGCGTCTTAATGTGCATGTCAAGGGATCGATAATGAACTTGGATGGTGAAATCCCCTCACTTCCTTGGCGAGTTGCAACTTTGCCTCTCAAGTGCAATATCGACTGCCTTTCACATCTGCATTCACTTCATTCACTCCACAAGACTTGCTGACTCAATTGGCCACAGATTCAGTCTCCATGGTCCATGAATGGCTCTCTTATCTCCCGTAAAATGCACCTTGACGTTGACTTTTATTAGCCAATTAACTCTGATGGTGTAAATTGTCTCGTGACAAATTCACGCTGAGTTATGAGAAAGTTCTCTTACTCAATAGAGAATGTGGCGAATATGGCTTGCAAATTCTATTATATGGATTTCTAAACAAAAAAAAATACTGTTATGAAAGAAAACTTTCAGTGCGAAAGTTTTGTGCATCTCAAATGATTTGTGCGGTGAATTATCGTTTTGTATTGAAGACCGCACAATTTTGAATGTAACTGAAGAAAAAAAAAACTTGTGGCTTTTGTAGAAATCACTTCCTGCGGCCCGTATAAAATAAATGTACATATATGTACTTTTAATGCAAATAAGCTGGATAAAGTGCTAAATAAACTCGAATTGCGGACGGAAGGGAAAAAAAAAGAGTCACGGAAATTACCTATTCCCACTTTTCCTCTATTGAACTCGCCAAGACAAGTCGAAATTTCGAAAAGTGTTGAAAAGAGCAATATAATATGTAAAACCTCGACTAATGCAATCCATGTTGTGGTGCCTTTTCCTCAAGTTTTACTTCTTCCCTTTCCAGCAAGTGCGCACAGAACGAAAAGACGATCCAGAAAAGGCTGTGAGAGTCGTGGAAATTGGTGAATTGCAAATGTGAATCCAATTGGAATCCATTGTTAGGTTGAGGAGTGTTGTTCACACAGAACCCATAGCCAATTAGTCCGCTTGCGAACGTGCCAATTAATCGCTTTGCTATGAATTGCTACGACATCAGCCTGGCGGATGAGATGAACGACAAGGGCGAGGGTGGACTGAAGCACCTGCCCAAGTGGCCGCCCGTCAACATCGACTTCCAGGACCTCACATATTCCGTTCCTGAGCTCTCATGTGAGTATGCGAGCACACCATTTCTCAATTATCACCTTCACCTTCAGCCCTGCCGGCCACCATTTGTCCCTCGGACGGAAGCCAGGCGCTTTCCTCATTTGTTTTTCAAATTGTCGCTCCCACCATCAATTCACATTGACTTTTCACCTGATTTATGGGAAAAGCCGCAAACAATTCACACGACAACAATGAACTACATATTTTTGCGCCCTATATTTCATCACACAATGTCGCGGTTTTGTGCCTATTCAGGAAGAGTCCTTTCATGAGCTGAAAATAATCACATATTGAGTCACACTTTTTCAATGTCAACATCGTCAAAGTACAAATATTTTGTACTGGTTTTCAAACTTCCCTCCGCACACAAAAATATTTGGCTAATTGCTCATTAAAAAGCCTCTAAAACCCAATTAACTGGAACTACACAATTTTGCTGTTTTGGATCCAGAGAACTGTGCTTCCTGGTTAACTGGTGGCTCTTCAAGTGACCTGAATGGTCTTATCGAATTTGTACTATTTTTTATAGTTAGCAGCAGATAAAGAACAATGCCTCCAGTTGTTGGAAGATGTTAGAAAATGTGTCAATCCTTAGACAAATACACTGTTTTATCTCAGTAGTTCACACTATCTGGTCAATTTTCTGCTGATTGAGCAAAGTTCTATTCATTCTATGAGATCTGCAAAGAACCACTTTCAAAAGTGTTTCTTTTCAACATAAATTCATCTAATGGATTTGTCTGGAAATTTTCCAAATGACCGAGAGAGATTTATTAATGGCACTCAATGTCTTTCGGGTCTCAAATAAATTTCACGACATTTTTATGCTGAAATTTATCAGATATTTTAATATATTCCAGTCAGGAATTAGTGATAAATGGAATAAGGCAGGTGCTGGACGGATGATTGCCGAAATATCAAGCTCTTATATAACATAGTTCAAGTTTGGACAGAACATCTCAGCACATTTCTAATGATACTAATTCGTATTTTCGATTTTAAATGACAGTTTTGTCACAGAAATTATGCAAATTCCTCACTTTATCATTAAGTGAAGGTTTTTTCCTTGTTTGTTAATCACTTTTGGCACAACCCAGCAATTCTTTTGTCCCCTTTTTGGGGAAAAAGCATTGACGCAATGGTGAAATTTCCACGAAAGCTGTGTTTTCGTGAATTGCAAAAACAAAGCGAATTTCTCCCTAGAAATTTTCTTAAAAACACAATTATTCACGCAACATTTTCCCATAATATGCCATCGTGAAAACACCATAAATCACTTAAGGCGGTTTTGCAAAATGCACCTTTTCAGCTGGTGGAGTTTATCGCGGAATTCGAGGGCGAAGAGCAACACGGAAACTTGAATTCTACGATGAGTTTTTTTGTCATGTTCAATTATGAAACACCATTTGAATATATTTCGTGTCGATGATAAGAGGAATTGAGCCACTCGTATTTTGGCACGAAGAGGTCAGTTTTACGATAATGCAAATGACCTCTTTGCCTGAGCATTGATTTATATTCTTTTACAAGGGAAAAATCTTGAGAATGTGACACAAATTCTACAAAGTTCTCACAGGCCAACATCTGCGATTTTCCTCCAAATTTATTCTTGCTTCATGGGGGAGTTTTGATAAATGCGAATGTTTTGAGTGTAACATTGAGAATTTACTCACAATCTGAATGATTTACAGCAAATCCCAAAATAGTTTGTCTCATTCTTTTATCATTTAGAGGGTGAATCAATAGCAAATGTGGACATTTGCAGTGTATCTCATGAAGGGCGGGTTTCGTTGGAGTTTTCAACCCCTTGTCAATTGATTAGATAAATGTGCAAAGTTTGAGATTTCTCAGAATGCCATTATTCCACTCGACTGAGCTGTAACTGTTGAAACGATTGGGTGAACAATAACAATGTTGAGCATGAAGAGTGTGACATCAGAGGCATCAATTGATAGAGCCCAGAGCGTCAATTTTCCTCCAATCTCGCAGCTTTCGTTCCCCGATAAACCGCTAAATAGTGGGTAAAAGAAACACTTAAGAGCGATGTAAACATCTCCATAAAATCTTGCACACTCTCATTCAGCCTCTTTCACCCCCCTCGATCGGGCAATTTTCTGCGAGAATGAGATCGACCTCAATCATGAACCCGTGTCATGTACATTGATTTGATAAGGCCGCTGAAGTGCACTAAATTTTGCCTCTCGATGTGTTGTAAAAATGCCTTATCCGAGGCATTAACAATGTTAATGGGTTTCCTTATGGGTGATACACTTCGTCGAAGTAAACCAAGCAATTGGAAGCAGATGAAAGAAAAACTCTCTAAGCAAAACCAAATTTCAATTCTGTGGTGCTTCTTTAATTAGCACGAAAAGACGTCAACTTTAGTAATGAGAGGCTTTTTATAGTGGACACATTTGGGATGGTTTCGTGAGTAGAAATGGACAGTGAAGAAGGTGTTAATTCAGATACTTAATACTGTTAATGGATTTTCACGAAAAAAATTTCACTATCGCCTTCAGAAATGAGTAAATAAATACACTTTGCGGTCTCCATGTGTGTGAAAAGTGGAACAAACTATCGTCTTATTGACCTCTCATGCGATTTTCGATGATGCTCGCAGAATTGCCTCACGACTCTCTCGACTGATAGCTGATAAGGATGAAAGACAATAGTTCATAACCGCAGTGCGTCTCTCCATTGCAGGCAATAAAGTGATATTACGTGGAATAAATGGCAAGTTCAGATCTAGTCAACTCACGGCAATTCTGGGCCCATCCGGAGCTGGCAAGAGTACTCTTCTCAATGTCCTGGCGGGATACAAGTACGCCAACATCCAATGACCCCATCAGAGAATGCCAATAACCCGACCATCCCCTTTGATTCCGCAGATGCTCCGAGGCCACAGGCACCATCAATGTGAACAACCGCCCCAGAGACATGAGAGTATTTCGGAAAATGTCACGCTACATAATGCAGGAGGACATCTACCAGCCCATGCTCACCGTGAGGGAGGCGATGCTGATTTCCGCAGACCTGAAGCTTGGCAAGCAATTGACGAGAGAGGAAAAATTGGATGTGGTAACGTGGAGTTATGCAATAAACTTTCCAAGAGAACTTTTCCTAAACTCGATTAAACACATACCTTCCAGATAGATGAAATTCTGGACCTGCTGAGGCTGTCCAAGGCGGCAGACACGATGGGCCATAAGCTGTCGGGTGGTGAGCGCAAGAGGCTGTCAATTGCTCTGGAGCTCGTCAACAATCCACCAGTGATCTTCCTGGACGAGCCAACGACGTAAATTCACTCACAATTACATGAATTGCAAGTGTCTCACTGTGATCTCTCCGATAACAGGGGCCTGGATGACCTGTCCAGCTCGCAGTGCGTCTCCCTGTTGCAGAGAATAGCGCATGGCGGACGGACGATTATCTGTTCAATTCACACTCCCTCGGCGAAGATGTTTGCCATGTTCGATCATGTGTACATAATGGCTAATGGTCAGTGTGTGTATCAAGGATTGGGGTCCAACATTGTCAAGTACATGCAGAACATCGGGCTCATCTGTCCAGTGACGTACAATCCGGCCGACTTCAGTAAGTATGGCGAGAGAGCTTATAATTTACTCCCTCGATAAAATCTTTATTATTAGATATTTCCATATTATTCCCCTGACTTGATAGTCTTGAGTTTAATGCATTAGTAATTTCACTTAATTATTCAATATAATTGTGCATTCTCAGAGCAATTTGATGACCAACAAATCTAGTGTGTCTCTATCTTGGTCTCCATTGAAGCTCTCCTCAATTATATACAAATAACATTCCTGACAACCGAAACCTATTTCATAGATTATTCGGGAGGATTTTCCGAGCTGTATTATCTCCCCCTTGATTTTCCCTTAACGTGCTTGATTGCACGCCGAGGCGGCGTGCGTGATAATGTGGTTAGGCTCGTGTGAAGAAAATAATTGGCATTTCGACAGCAAATGTGTTTTGCTCAGTTACGATAAAGAGTTATTGCCCTCTTTGCAGTTGTTGAGGTGTCGAGCGGCGAGTACGGTGGCGAGTACCTGGAGAAGATGGTCTCGAGCGTGAGCAATGGCAGGTACACCTGGACGCCGTCAATTGAGTCAGCGAAGAGTGGTGAGAATTCATCGGGCAGCCAAGAGCTCGCACAAATGGAAGCGTTTGACGTGGAAATTGACCCCAAAGACCTCAAACGTGCCTCGTCGTGGCATCAATTCTGCATCCTGCTCAAGAGAATGACAATCCAAATGTGGCGGGATAAGAGCTATCTCATGCTCCGTGTTTACCTGCACATCTTCCTGGGCTTTGTCATTGGCGGCCTCTTCTACAATATGGGCAATGACGCCTCAAAGACTCTCTACAACTTTGGCTTCTGCTTCACAATCATCATCGCCTTCATGTACATTCCCATGATGCCAATCCTGCTCGAATGTGAGTTACAATGGTGGAAATGGGCTGTGCAGTGTGGTAACCGCATCTATGGTGTTTCTTGCAGTTCCCCTCCAAGTGCAGCTCCTGAAGCGCGAGTACTTCAATAGGTGGTATCGCCTCAACGTGTACTATCTGGCGATGGTGGTGGCAAAACTGCCCATTCAAATTACCCTCGCCATTGTGTACATTACGATGGTGTACCTGTTTACGGACCAGCCCATCTCCGTCGCCAGGATGCTCATGTTCTACACCATCAGCATTCTCGTATCGCTCACGTCCGAGAGCTGGGGTCTCTTGGTGGCGTCGCGCCTCAGAGTTGTGGTAAGATGGCTCATGAAATGTTATTGACATGATTACATTGTCTCCTCTTGCAGAACGCCATGTTCGTCGGACCCGTCATCACAGTGCCCACAATGCTGCTCGCCGTGTACGGAATAGGGTTCGGCAAGGGTGTCGTGATTCCCGGCTACGTGAAGGCTCTGATGTCCCTGAGCTATCTCCGGTACGGCCTGGAGGGCATCGTGGCCGCCATCTACGGCTACAGCCGCGAGGACATGATCTGTCCCGACGAGGAGGTCTTCTGTGCCTATCGCAAGGCCAAGTTCCTCCTCATGACGATGGGCTTCGAGGACATCAGCTACCCCATATCCGTGGGCGCTCTCTGCATTTTCTACCTCGTCTTCAACGCTCTGGCCTTCTTCCTCATCCGCCAGCGGCTCTCCCTGCGGAGGACCAACTTCCCGGCTGTCCAGTATATTGGGCAGTTCGTGAAGCAGCACTTTAACCTCTCCAGCAGCTGAAGAGCAGTTGGACTGGCGACAGAGTGTGCAATGTGATAGAGGAAGAGCCAAAATGACGTGACAGAGTAAAAAAAGCAATAGATTTATCCAATATAAGAAACGTACAATGTTATTCTGTAAGAAATGGTTGGCCGTATAATAACGACGGTGTTTTTATACTTTAAGAATCTCAATGATGAATTTTTCAATAAATTATTATATAAAGTTCGTAATTTTGATATTTTATGAATTCTAGAAAGTGAATTTCAGCGCAATTTCCAAGCAAATTCACAGAGAAAGTGGAAACCATTGGATTGGAAGCAGACAACGATCGCGCAGAGATCGCACGCGATGTCGTTACACTTGAAATCTAACTCGCGGCGCCATCTGCGGTGTAGGCACGGCATCGCTGCGCGGTTCACGTGACCGATCAGCTGGTTGGGTGTTTTGTTATTGATTGCAGATGAAAAAATTCGTGTGTAGATGTGTGCACGGTCGCATGCGCGCCTCGGAATTTCCACATGGTTGATACGAATACCATCGCGTCGTCTCTGTCTCGTGCCGTCCCACTTCTGCGTGCAGCACACGTCGGCGAAGGCGGGACGGCAATAGAGCGGACGAAGCACGGTAATGCGTACAATTCCACGGCTGTAGAGTGAGAGGACAATGTTGGGAGAATCCCTGTCTCAGTACAAGGCGTGTGAGTCATCGGGGAAAATGACGGAAAATTGAAAATGTCAAGAAGAGTGTTTTCCTGGCAAAAATAGCCCCGTTTTTGGCATCCGCGCGGCCTTTCGCGGGCCGACTTGTCGTGCATCGTTCACGTGATCGAGTGCAAGAGTGCATGTGCCCGGGGCCGGGACAGTGAAACCCACGGACTTGCCCCAGTTTGCGCGGAGGACGCAAAGGAAAGATGTTTATAATTGAAAGTGTCTAAAAATAGTGTGAGAGTCAAAAACAACGTTGTACGAGAAGTGATTTATTCACCTTCCCCAACGCGATTAATGTGTCAAAACGCTCATGAAAGAATACCGTCAAATTACAACGGGTGATAAATCAGTGTGGAAGTCTCAGAATGTGTGGAAAATCAATGGAGAGGAATTTCTGGGCTGCGGGGCCAGAGTTCGGCCGAATTTAATTAATAAGGCACACCGAAGAGCCTTTCTCTCCTGATAGCAAACAAGGGGGAAATTCCTAAGTCAACACAATCCCACCTCCGCGAATTTCCCACCTGAGGTTTGGGGCTGCGGAATGACCAAACAGCTCTCGAGCACGCGATTTTTTACCCCCCAAGACTTCCCTCTCGGCGGCGTCCAATTGTTGGCGGTAACGCGAGAAGCTAATACGTCTTTGGCGTCCCAGAACGCCCACTCACCCCTATTTTTCACGAGATTCCACTCATTGTGCGCTGGAAGACATTAACCCATTTCTCCTTGGCTGATTTACCCATCGCCATTGTTCAATCATTCACCTCATTGCTGGCTCAATGCATCGTCGCCGAGCTGGAAAGGCTTCCGAGACGATGGATTCGAGACTGAGGCAGCATCTGCTGCTGAGAGACATTCTATTTTCGGAGCGGAAGGTTTAGCTTGGGGTCAAATAGTTTGGAGTGTGCATCAACTGTTCCATCATTGGGGCTTTAACGGCATTCCCGATCAAATTCGTCTTGATATCAAACTGAAATCATGCTTTAAAGGCTGTGCAAGAGATATCTGATTGGGGTTAAGATCTTCCAAAAAAGACCTCTGAGCTGGCTCAGATCCTCAATACTCGTGATTTATTGGGAGTTTTAGACGGTATCCAAGGGGGAAATAATATTCCTTAAATCTGTACACCATTTCCATCACTTTTTAGACTCCTTCAACTGTTTCTTATCGCAATAATAAAAGTAATAGAAGCAAACTAATTCTTCGAATTTACCTCAATTTAACAGAAGCTCTTGCAGCGCAAATATTCTACCACTTCCTATTCCTAACACTCGTATCTTTAACTAGAAAGAGCCTCTCCGCCAGTCCACCAACTCAGCGGCTTATCTGCGAGGGATCGAAGACTATTCCGTATATCTTCCCTTAACGAGTTCGCAGTGGGTGATTAGTGAGGAAATGATGGCGGTGGGCGAGGCGTCGGCGAAGCCAGAGGCTCATCGATGAAAAATAGAAATTAGAACATTTCTCCAGTGCAATGGAGTGCGAAGGCAATTTGTGTGTGATCTTAAATCAAGGTGATTCTCTCTCTCCGTGAGACGCGGCCCACGTGGAGAGCGGGAGAGACGGTGTAAAAGTGAATGGAGAGAGGCCGCGACTCTCTGGCGACCAGGGGGGGCCCACAGCGCTCCAGCGGCGAAAGCACTGAGCCATTGCTGGTGCGACCGCTCGTGAACGCGGAGCTGAGACGGAGCTTTTTCGTTGCGCGCGCCAAGCCAGAGATTTGCCTCCTCCACCAGCAGCATCGCTCCAGACATCCAGTCACTCGGCAGTGCCCCGAGGAGGAAGTTGAGTGCTCAGTGTCCGTGTCGAGTCGCGAGTGGAGTTCTCCGTGTGCTGTAACACCTGCCGAAAGCTCCGGTCAATTGGCTGTTGCATGCAAATTGCCACACGGCGAGACGTGAATTTCGTCCAGACAGTGAAGTGCGCGCGGGAATTTTCCTAGACCTCTCTCAGCATTTTCTATCGCAGCCCAATTGGCCCCGAGTCTCGTGTGATGCAAGAGCATAATTAGCTAATCCGCGGAGGCTTTGCGAAAAGAGCAACAAAAAGTCATCGAGACCACTTTGCCGATCTCCAGCGCACTACTTTTGCTTCACAATCCACCGACCCAGGCAAATATTGTGTGACTCGCGAGCAAGACAAATAGGCAGAGTCTCTTTGTGTGCCAAAACGCAAAAAGAATAATAAGCCATTAGTAAGTGCGCTCAAACGGGTGGCGAGTGAAAGGAAGATATTCGGTGTGATTTCTTGCATGTTAATTGCAAGCGGGGACTCTCTCTGCTGTGCCGTGAATACCGCGTGGTGCTGAAGAGGTTGATGGTTGCCAGTGGCAGTTGTGGCTCAAGAGTGCCGGATTGCGTGAGTGTGTGACGACGAAGGGCCCCTGAAGTCAGAGTGTTATCGCGCGCCAAGTCCTGCAACACCTGGAGATTCATGCTGAGAACCGTGAAGATGAGAAGGAATGTGAAGTTTCTCCTTCTCCTATCAATTTCATGGATGTTTATTATGGTTTACTACTTCCAATCCAATAATGCCAAGGTAAATATCAACCGCCTAATTTCCATACTCTCTACTTTGCACAATTCGCAAGTCTTCCCCGCATTGCTCGGCGGAACGGAAAGAACGGGTGGGCGGATTGTTTACGTTGTACACGCAAAACCGGAGCAGAAAGATGACATTTCAGAACATGGCTTCGTTCCCAAGTGTGTTTAGCCCTCAAGCTGTGCTGCGATCACGGCTATAGATTATTAAAGTTTGTGTTTGAAGCACTACTAACTTATACAAATAATTCTGGAATGAAAAAAATGATGAGTAAGCGGTCGTTGCAACTTTACTTTCATAACATTTTAAATAAGCTACGATTCATAACATTTGCGAAAGTGGGTAATTTATCTGCTGCGAGACATGAAACGTTTGAAACTTTGGCACTGGAAGCCAATTCATATATTTCGTCGCGTGAAGGCAAAAAAAGCCGGAAAATTCACGTGAAAACCAGGATACGGACATCTATCGACTTTTTCCAAAGAAACCGATCGACTTCCCAAAGCATTTGCAATTCTTTGTGTCCAAAACATCTCTCTGTAATCAATGGAAAGTCTTGGAAGTTCCTTAAGATTAGTTTGGGAAAGACACGGAAAACATACGCATTATCATCGAAGAACATTTTCTTACGTCAAAGTGGAGGAAAATGAGCAGAAACCGGATGGAAGTTGGAATATTCCGGCCTATAAACACTTTTAGAACCGCCGCTGAAAAATAGTCGCACCGACGGAACTTCGTATTAAATAAACTCCCAATTTTGCCTGGCAACGTCATCATTCGTACTTTCCACTAGCGCCGCCTGGCAGCCGCCAATAAAAGCTATGAAAATTGTTAAGTTGCAAACCGAATTTGCAGATTTTATGAAATGAAATACAAATTCGGTAAAGTTGAAATGACCTTTAATTCTGAAGAGAAATAAAATATTGAAAGTCGGTGTATAAATCGTACTGGAACGGATTTCATTATATATATTGGTTTTCCCTCATTCGCGAGTGACCTAAAGATCAGGCGGAGTTTTTCTCTTGCAAACACGGATGTGCGCTGACAGTGAGCCATAAAATCTAATTTACTTTGACTGAACAATTCAAACTTTTCAAAAATTTCCACATGAAATTGTATAAACTAATTTCCACAGAATGTGATAATTATAAGTTACGTCAGACACGATACAGTATGCATTCAAAATGGAAGTGCCGCATTTTTCTCTGACTGTTCCGTGTCAAATTGTCTGGTGGCAAAGAGCAAGAAATGCAGGTGCCAACCTTAATTGGCGCTAATGAGAAGCTGAACATTTTTTGTGACATCAATCTCACTTATGCGAAATTTATCTTAATTGTGGACCAAACAACATTTAATTAATGACAGTGTGAACAGCCGGAGAGATATTTCCCTATACGCATTGTGGGTGGATTTCCAGTGCCATGGAGATTGCAGAGTCGCTTCCACTTGGGGAAATTAGAGCAGCCAGAGCGAAGAGGGCTTTGGCACCTCTGTCGCCTGATAAGATATTCTCCATGGAAGACAATTTTTATCAGCAATTTGCTGGCGTGAAATTGATTTTAGATTGAAAATGACTTTAGGCGGATTGACAGTGTGAGTGGAGGTGAAGAAGAGCACCTGGAAAAGTGTCTCGTGGAAGGCAAAGCTCGTGAGGGAAATTGAATTTGACTAGCATCGCAGCAAATAAACACTTTAAGTGACTCGATCAATTTGGATGTTTATCGTTTGCGGTGTCTCATTTTCCCTCTGCGACGCCCCTTTTTTCACCTCAAGAAATCTTATCTCGCCACCAATAACAACACTTACACGTGATTCCATCAAAAAGTGACGCTTCTTCGCGATATCGCGGTTCGGCTTTACTTTTTTCCCTCACTCAATAATCTTGATAATGTGAGGAAACAGCTCTTCTCGGTTAGGGAATTTTTTTGTGTGCGCTACAAGAGATTTTCATGTACAATATTCAATTTGCATTATCTTCTAAATGAAAGTGCACTGATGTGAAATTTTCCCCATGCAAGACAGTCACTTATGTACTTAAGACAGAGATTACGCTTGCGAGCATCACCTGTTCTCCACTTATCTCGTATTTTGTTGGTAAACAAGCAGAATTGTTGATGACATTCAGAGCAAGTACAATGCAAATGAATTTAAAGTAACATAAATACTGTACACACAATTCATTACTATAAAACTACACTTGCAAAACACTTAGAATACCATTTTGGGTATTAGGCAAGGGGGAGATAATATGCCTTAAATCTGTCCACTTCTTCACACTTTCAAATTTTCCAGAAGTTTTTAGACTGTTCGCATAATAATTCTCAAATTATAATAAATCTCTAAAGTTTTCATACGATATATCTTTAAGAATTCAGTTAAAAACACATTTTAGAGTGTTTTATTCCGATCATATTCTCAAAATATTACCAAGAAATGTTTACAAAAACCAAAAGAAATCCAAAGAATCGGGATCATTTGGCAGTAAAAGAAGCGCTGAAAAGGAATATTGTAGGTTCTTGAACCCTTCCACTCCTCAAGACTTCCGCTGAGCTGTACACCACTTCCGACTGCATTATCTCCCCCTTGATATTAGAGCAACTTGACTAGTTTTCCCATTTATAATATCTCATTTTAATTCTGTAATTGCGTGCGGGTCAAATTTCTAGATCAACATGCAACCCAAATCAAAATTTCACGCACAAGATAAAGCCTAATGGAAGTTGCGATTCCGAAGCAATTGCAACTTACCATAGTGTATGTTGTGCCACGGTGCACTTTTGTGAAATTAATTTGCTCTAATTAAGTGGTGTGTGCGAATTAAATGATAAAGGTATGGAGCAAAAGTACGGTGAACTTTTATTCTGCACGCTTGGAGTGTTACTAAAAAATGCACGCCATTCCGTCGGGGGTGGCTATCAAATTGCTCAGCAGGGGGTGGAAGAGGAGCCACCCGAGAGCGGAGCTATAAATAAAATAATTGTAGAATTAAAGTCCGTCTGAATTGGTGGAGTTTTCAATTAATTCCCATCCAGCACCGTGATTCTTGTCTTTTATGTGCTGAAGAGGGCGCGCGCATTCCTTGCACTTCGGGGTGGGCGAATGAGGCTCATTTCTCAACTTGATTGGATAATTTTGAAGCTGTTTCAGCGCTTCCAACACTGAATTTATTATTGCAAATAAATAAAAAAAAGAGCGACGATGATGGTGTATTGGAGAAAAGACCAATTCTTCACTGGCTCTCTGTGGATTTCACTGTGATTTCACCCCTGAAAAAGTTCATCTCACCGCAAATTAATCACATTGATTTCTATGGGGAAAGCTCACTAAAGCAACGAGTGAGTTTCTGAAGGGTGGAGAATTGAATTTTATGGGAATAACTTTGTGATTAGCTGGCAGAGGCAAAGTTATCACTCGTCGAGCTTCACACTCTTTCCTTTGCCACCAACCCTTGTGAACATGTATTTATTTTCGGTTTTTTATTTAACAATCTCAAAAAAATTTTCCCTGCAAACACATCATATAAGGTTATTCAATGTTTTTTCCCCGGGAAAAGCAGATATGACAGTGAAGAGTTGAATGAAACTGAAGTTTAGTTAAATGGAAAACCATCCTCATGACCGCTACTCACCCTCTGAGTTTTCACCGTCATCGTCGGTCTGTAACTCTTTTTTTTCCACAATATATTCGGTATTTATGAAGCTCCGGAGGGTGCGGGTCTCGGGACAATGAATGTCAGAGTGAGAAAGCCAAAAAGTACGCTGAAGCGTGAGTGGAGTGGAAAATGGCAAAATTAGGCCCCAATTGTAAAACAATTTATTTGAACACCCCCTCTGGGATTTCGCACCATCAACCACCATCCACGAGGACGAGATGTGGCAAAAGTGTAAACTTTCCCTCTGCGTGCCTTCTTTTGCGCTCCTCCTGATAAACTTCCCATACATGGCGGGCTCACTTTTTTCCCACCCCCACACAACCCCTTTCTCGCCGTCCTGCCGTTGGTGGATTCGTAGCAAAAGATAAATAAATAAAAGTTTCTCGTTCGACTGTCTGCTGATGACGATACGGCAGAAAATTTCACATAATACTCGCAAAATGTACACACAGGAGGGCGAAATACTCTCGGCAAACTCACTTTACCCACAGAGAGAGAGCCAAAGAGGAAAGTCGAATCTGCCAACCTGACAAGGAATATTTAGAGACTCAAATGGGAAGGTGGAATCTTTGCCTCTCGCATTCAGTCAAAATGCGATTTTCACTGTAAAAAGTATGAAGTGAATTATGATAAAAAAAAAGAACCGCCTTGCCTAGTGCACACTATCTTCCACTTCATGAAAACTCTCTAAGGATCACTTGGAGTGTGTTACACTTGACACAGTTGCTGTTTTCATTTTGCTGTCCAATTCCGCTCTGTGAATGCTCAGAGGACATGCCAGAAAAAGTCCCTGACAAGAGAGAACAAAGCATGGGTGAGAAGTTTGCAACTTTTTTATGCTCCATTCGCGGCACGGCCGGAAATTAAATGCAACCTTTCTCAATCCAGTCGCAGGTATTCTGTGTACATATCCATAGTGGAGCTTTCGGTTGACGCCAGAGCACTTCTATTGGCCGGACAGCGTGTGAATAGGCACGGCTTCCCGGGGGGTGAGCGCCCCATTTCACGCTGAAAACATTGAGGAATAATGCAAATGCGACGTTTTATGCAAATACCCCAGTTAATCACTCGATTCACTGCATTTATCTGCATACAAATGCTCCTGAAATGTCCATGGAGATTCACTCGTGTTCACTTGACGGATTTTAGGGGAAATCCTGGGAGGGTAAATCGGTGAGAAAACACCATTAGATGAGTGATGGCACTCACAGTTGGATGTTGTAAAAACGTAATCATATGTATACCACACTCTATATGGCCACTTTTATTTATTTATGTATTGCCATCGACGCGTAATTGGCGTGATATGAATTGCTGAAGAAACTAAAACTCCGTGACTGAAAAT